TTGAATTTAAAGGAAATGATGGTAGCATGTTACCACAACAAATAATTGCTATCGGAAAACCGGAGGCATCGATAAGTACAATTGCCAGCGTGTATGCCAGCGCTATTTTGGCAAAATTGGGGGTAAAGGGAGAGATTGATGTTCTGACAGGCAGTGTTCAAACCAACGTTGCTTTAAACTTTCAACAAAGAAACTTCTGTCATTTAGTACGCGCCGAATTAAACATGTTACGGGGCAAATTATACGCTTTTGCTGAAGTTGATATGTTATTTTTTGAGAAAACAATCGAAATAGAAATTTATGATTGGCCTGGAATTACAAAATCAAAAACTTTATCAGAATCATTCTGTTGTTCAAATGCTTTCCAGTCGACTGGCAAAACAGAAATTCAAACGTACAGCATGTTGTACCCCGTTTTCTCAAATCTTACTGATGTATCATTTCAGAGAAAATTGTCCGAAGCTCTCTCGGTACTCTCTTCAATTAAAGCATGTTTGAATTCATTCAACAAGGATAATTGCTCATTAGGACTGGCAAAAGGTTTACTGAATAGGGGAATTTATATTTTTGAACCTTTGTTGTTGAAAACAATCCGTGAAAATTACGTTTTTACGACACTGCATATAACACCATTGCTTCTTACTAATAGTGGTGATTATTACGGTTTAGATAGAGTAGGCAATGTAGTTCAGGTAAATGAATATGGTAAGGTTAGACTGGTCATGTTGCCTCTAATAAATCTGTTGGCTAGTTTGGTTTATAGTCCAGAAATAATGCACGTTTATGGAGGCATAATGAAGAATCAAGTTTTACTCCAACAGCATCCAAAACTATCTATACTGACATCCACTTCCAAAGTACTGGATCTCCGACCGTACTGTTCTAAAATGATGGCGATTTGTGCGAATATAAGAACGGGGAAACAGGACCATGGAGACACGATGACGTTTACAGAAAACAAAGGGATTCAATCCTTCAACGACAAGGAAGCGTGCTCCGCCTTCATCAAGACAAATGGAATCAGATATCCCTTTTACTGCGACGCTTACCCGTTCTCGTTCACACTAGAGGGCGGTAGTGGGGCGACTGTAATGTCCGTTAACGTGATGGAACGGGATGTCAAAATGGAGGCATTCAATGCCTTTATCAAATCGTCGGGATTGAAAGGGGGAGATTCTTTTGTCGTTATTGTCTAACAGTTAAACACCTACTGTTGACCGATTTTGTCTTCAATTCAATAATAGTTTGTCGATTCATCCGTGATAGTGATAATGTCGCCTCTAATCAGAGCCTCGATTCATACAGTCATTAATACTTGGTCCATTAATACTTGTAGCATCTCAGTCTTGAACAATATCCATTGTTTGTTTCTTTTATTCATAACAATAACCTTTAACCTATGTCCTTAGTGCTTTAAAACAAATATTCAGATATTGTATCATGTAGGAAATAAATTAGTTGAAAATACAGTATACTGTTATAATGAGTAAATCTTATCCTTTTTCCTCAACATGTAAGATATGTATTCAATTCATTGTAAACTTACTGACATATATACACTTTATTTGTGAATACATTTGATCTATTTGTTATAAAATGAACCGTTTGTCTAATGTAAATTCTCAGACTTAAAGCTCAGACTTTATTCTCGCGAATAAAAAAAGTGATTAACAGTACGTGTAATTTAATATAATCAAAGAAGGGAATTTTTTTAATCAAATCAAGAGTAAAATTTAAAATGATACATTTGCTGTCATTATGTAATGTATATCCCTCATGTTCCAACATTTTGTAAGTTTTTTTTACATTCAATATAATGTTTACCATATTTGATGCCATGCACTTTCAGAATAATTATATACTGCTTATAGATTTTAACAAATCATTCAATAATTAAAGAAATGACTAAATTTGACTCATAATGATTTAACATTTTAATCATCAACATTTTTAATGCTGCAATATTTACATTTCTAATGTTTATGTCCAATATAAAATTGCAAATAGTCAATGTACTTTATTTCCTTATCCATGCACTGGTTCATCGATAGGCGCGTTTAAAAAATCACATGCAGGGCAGGACAAATAGAGACAAAAAGGGGGACTTGTAGCACGTGGATTGACGAACTGAAGAGCATGTAAATATAGGGAATAACTGTCAAATTTTTCAAGTTCATTAAAGTGATCAATCGATTGGATTGCGTGATAACTTTATGCATCATTTCATAAGTTCTATGGTCGATACAATGATTTAGTTAGCAAATTCAATTTATCATTGAGTCAAATGTTTACTGACTTTTTTCATTGTTACTCCATTATTTATACACTGAATTGACGACGGATTTTTCCGTTATTTCCCGATCATGACAAGGAGCACAGGGCGGATGTGACCGGTCAACAGGGGATGCTCACTGGTCAACAGGGGATGCTCACTCCTCAATGGCACCTGATCCCACCTCTTTCGGAGGTCTGTATTTGGTCTGCTTCTATTTTGTTTTGTTTTATGGACTTTGTTTATTAATACTATTCGTTATCTGCGTATCCTTCTATGCATAAACGCATTCGGCGTCTATGCAAATTATCATGAAAGCCAATCGATTGATCACATCGTGAAATCGATAAATAAGACAGTTATTCCTTAAATATTCCTTTGTAATCTGCATACGGGGTTGATATCTCTCAGTTGGTTCGATAAGCAAGAGCATACTATACCTATGAACAGTTTCTAAAATGAGTGAAGTTATTGACAAATAAGTTATTGAAGGAAGAATATCAACAGTTCCGTTTGAAGTCATCATGTTGTACGTTTCAGATATGGTCAATACAATAACCTGGTCAATCAAATACAATCTATCATTAAATTTGTTTCTGACTGATATTTTTCATACTGATTGTTAGGCCATCATTTACACACTGCATTGACGTTAAACAACATACATACATACTGAATTGTTGAGGGATTTTCCCGTTATTTCCCGATCATGACAAGGAGCTCTCAGCGGATTGGTCCGATTGACAGTGATGCTCACTCCTCCACGACACCTGATCCCACCTCTGAAATTTTTTGTAGTCCGTGTTTGCTCTCCTGCAGGATTTGTATTGTTTGATGAACTTTTGAGTTTGAATAATATAATTTATCTCCATATACATTTCATTCAGGTTTGTAAAATTATTCTGTTATTTGATTTTAAACGATGAACATTATCCTCTTGTTTCTAAAACAGAAAATTTTTAATTAACATTGATATTTCATACTATTTAACACAGAATATGACAATAGCAAAATTTTACGTCTTAGTATTCAGATAAATATCCCCATTTCCTTTATTCCTGTGAAAGAATAAAGAAACATAACTCATTATTTTACCTTGGAAAAGTGAATAAGAATCTAATTCATAACTCATTATTTTACCTTGGAAAAGTGAATAAGAATTTAATTCAAGATGAATTTCGAACAGGACAGAAACCGCATCTCCTAGTAATGTGTCATGCCGAAAAACTGCCTTACAAAAATGGTAACGTAAAGCATTGTTCAATTAAATCTAGAGTAATATTGGCATTACATAGCATTACAATATTTTATTTTGTGTACACTTATCACTTAAATAATATTAATAAGTATTTTTCAATTTGTGTAAAATTGAAAACACGAAATGACATGATAATACGCTTAGATTTTATAATAAAAAGGTTAAATTTTATTTACTACAAACTTTAATGCCCTATTTATTCTTTAAAGATATATAGCTTTGATTTAAAAAAAAAATTCAATGGGATGTACAGTTCCTTTAAAAATTACTTTACTTAATGTAAGGTTAAAAAATGAAATATATGGAGATAAATGAAATATATGGAGATAACGATTAATATACGAACCCCAGGGTCCGTTTTAACAATAAAAATTCTGACAATTATAGTAACATAATGTTGCATTTAATAAATATACATCGCATATATTTTTGAAGACGAAATATATTGATAAAATGAACTGTATTTGAAGGACTTGAAAATCCCATTAAATACATTTATAATCAGGTAACAGACTAAATGTAACTTGTCTCAAGTCTGCTCAAGAGTAAAAATTTCATCAGAAAATATGATGTTTAAAATAATGTCTACACGATTTTTAATTTCTTGTTTGAAAACCTTAAAAGTAACGAGTATTATACATTTATATTAAAATTATGGTAATGTAATTCATTACTTTTAAAAATTAGTGTAATTAATGGGAATGATAATTAAGTTTCCAAATTCTGAAAAGTTATGTATTGTAATTTATTGATTTTTTTTTTTGATGGTACTGAAAACAACTGATTTTTTTATTTCTCTCATTGTTCAAAATAAAAAAATTTTTGTTCAGACTAACCCTAATCTTTTGGATATTCATTTCTACCTGTTTGTGTGCAGAATTTATTTTAAAAACTTGAACTTTGAAATAGATTTCATGTATTTTCTTGGTCTGAAATTCGAAAGCTAAATATATATTTGCGACATTTTATCAACTTAAAATTTTCATTTTTTATTCATGCATTTATTCGATATATTCCGATGAATTTGAAATGAAAGACAGACCGCAAACTCTAACATATCTGTATCATGAAACAAGTCATCGGACTTAACGAATCATTTTGTATCATTTATTAACTTTAAGGACTTTGGCGTCAATTTCATGTATATTCCGATGTTTCTCTAAAACATATCTTATCATAAATTGAAAAAAAATTAAAGATCTTCGTTTTCAAATACTGCTTTCATTATTCTAAATTTCATCATTACAGTAGACGTGAAAAGAAAATAGTTAAAATCGTGGTTGTGCTCGATCTTAAAATTGATCTGATAAAATTTTTTTAAAAAAAATAAATAATTCGATGCATTACAAACAAAATTAAAGGCGTAAACCTTTACAAATCTTTAGTATATTTGCTTTTCACAAGTGATACCAGGGCTTCTTAATTAAGTCAATCTTTGTACACATAAAAAGTAAGGAGAAAGATGCATCATTCTGACACTATGACGGTTTAATATTTGTAAAACAAAATCACTGAAAAGATATTACAATTTACGAGAGTACTTGAGTGGCTGATGCATTACAATAAACACAGCATTAAAATATGAACACACTCCAGCTAAGTTCTGATGATGTAATGAACTACTGACAATGATGTTGAGACCTTGTTTATTCTGGCACGTGACCAGATTCGATGTATTTCTCCAGTCGTATAGCTTCTACATGAGTAAAGTTGAAATCGTTCACAAGGATTGATCTCGTCAACTCTTTCAGTATTTCGCCGTCAATCATTTCACTCTTGAACCTTTTTGCGTGTCTACCGAGTTTTAATTTCTTCAGCATGTTTCCCACTTCCTTCACCGACATGTTGCTCTGCGTGAACTTGACCAGCGCCACTGATTCTTTAGAAGTATTCTCAGAAGGTTCCACCTTTTCTTCGAAAGTTTTTGCAAGTTTTGCGTAGTTTGAATTATTGGAACGTGGTATGTCCTTAATTTTGGTGTAATGTTCATCCAATTCCTCTTCATTCTTATTGTCTGGTTTGAGTTTGAGGGATCTACCACGTGCTGGTACAGGGGGCGCTGGTAGCCTCTCCCCCGTGTCTCCATAGATACCAGAAGGAAATATATTGTCACTACGAACCACTTCCCTTATCTCCGGATCAAGTATATTATATTTCTTTATTCCTAAACGAATAAAACAAACAATTGCGTATTCAATTGCATCAAATATGGCCGCGTATATTGCATACGATTAATGTGTATTTCCCATTGCTAGTATGTTGTATTGGGATACGGGACAACATACTTTTGCCACTTTTGATCGAATTTTACCTGAACATCATCAAAAATATATACGCTATCTTAAATATCTTAAGTTTGGTAAATTTGTTTTATGAGAGAAAAAACAGTAAGCTTACTAAGATCACAGTTGGTCTCCGGAAAGGTGCAATTTTCATCCACAAAGCTGTCCAGTTCCTTGATGAAGTTCTGGAATTCTTCGTCAGATTTCTGCTTGTACCCGGTGATTTCTGTCACGGAAATCTCAGGACTGAGGGCAACAGCTGCAGTATCCTTACCTATTTTGTCTGAAATACAAAAAAAAATGCCCAGATTAATACAGGTGCTTCCCCGAGATGGCCTTAAGCATAGACTAAGTATCACAGGGTGCCTGCTGTTATTTATTATGCCTGAAAATGAAGCAAGGTAAGATCAGAGGTAAAAGCTAAAGAATATTCAGTTTAAATGCGTCTTACAATTAGAAAGAAATTGTTTTATGTTCTATATTCATTTAAAAGTGACATGTACATTAGGTAAAAAAAACAACACTTGCTTTGGCCTTGAATTCGAAATCTATATTGATCAACAACGTTTAATCAACTAAATAGGCCGTAAATTACACATTGAATGCATCGACATATTTTCTCGTTAATTCACAATCATTACAAGGAGCATACGATCGGTGTGACCGGTCGACAATGGATGCTCACTCCTTCATGGTATCTGATCCCATCTCTGATGGTTAAGAGGTCCGTGTTTGCTCTGCTCCTATTTTGTATTGTTTTATGGACTTTTGAGCTTGCATACTCTTCGTTATCTCAATAAATTTCATATGTTTACTCGAAATATTTCAGCACAGCGTTTTCAATTATAAAACACAGAGTATGTCAGGGTTCTTTTTTCCCCTGTCTACATGACTGTACTGATGTTAATTATCAGTTAACTATAACATGGAGCGACCAAGGTTTCCATCTTAAGCTTTCCTTATTTAAATTCGTCGACGAAATGTTTGACCTACTTCATCAATACAAGCAAATATTTGCAAAATGCAAAACTTTTGAAGACATAAGTGGAAACGCTGTAACATCCAATTATTTTCAGCATCGTACATCTATTAAAACATGATTGTACTCAGAGCATGGTACAACGTACATAAAACAAGCTGACTTGAAAAATACAATAAATTAATAACTCAAATGTTGACCGCCGTTTTTAAGGATGTGTGAGGCTATAATTTATACACTGGAATTTTGAAGGATTTTTCGTGTTGCTATTTATGACACGGAACACACAACGGGTGTGATTGGTCGATAGGGGATGCTTACTCCTCCATGGCATCTGATACGACCTCTGATGTTTTTCAGTGGTCCCTGTTTGCTCTGCAAGCGATTAATATTGAGACAGACATGTAAATCACTGAGTAATTGTAGAAAATTCATTGGGTAGGAAAACGGAAAGATATCACTCAGCAGTTGAGGAATTAACAGATAGACATACCGGCCATAATCAGTAGGCATTTGTTGAAAACTGTTTATAGGATAGGAGAGAGACAGGAGAAGACAAGTGATTTATATGTTCATATACTATATAATAGGACATTGAAGCATATTTGTATATATCAGAAAACAGACATACCGATCAGTAAGTAGTTTCCCTGGATGAAATGTTCTTCGTGTGTTGCTATAACAAGGAATGAGGCCAGACTCCCGTCTCGGTTTTTGCCGGCGTCAGGAATTGGTTTGTCATTAGAAAACTGAATCAGAACAGGAAGTTCTCTGGACTCCAGGACCTCACTCATTGTCATGGAAGAACTCTCTGTACAAAAAATGTTAAGACAGATAACTTAAAAAATAAGCTGTTACCAAATCTTACAATACCAAGAAGATATACAGAAAATATATTTTTCACAATATTAACCATTTAGCTTAAAAAAAGTTATTGAAATTTTTAAAAAAGCAAAATCTTCCCTTTTAATTGACACGATTTTCTATATCATAATTGAGTTCTAAAGGGGGTGTTTGTAGAGATAAAAAAATTTTGAACAAAAAGATTTCTAAAATTGTACTTTCTTTAAATAGCAGAGCTTTAAAAATTTTAAGTTAAAAATGTTTTAAGATTCACTTATTGCATGTGAAAAGATATACACCGGTATTTCAAGCAACTTTTTAAACCTTTCTTGTGAATTATGAGGCATAGCAAACGTTCATTGTGAACCTTTTACCCATTTCGAAAAATATTTACAAGGCAGCACTCTTGATTTAGCGTTTAAAGTTCATGTGAAGTGTAGAGATCTTTAGATAAAATAGTCTGAAATGTTTTTGTCAAAAGGAACAAATCTCAGACTACAAATCAAATTTTCTTTTCTTGAATATATGTATATCTATCATCAAATATACAACTCTGGAAAACTAAAACAAAGAAAAAAGTACATCAATGCATAAATTTTGCTTTGAACTTAAGGAATACATAAATATTTTTTTCTAGAATACAACAGTGCAGTTGAGATGCCTACGTTGAGTTCGAGACTTGACCAGTTGAAACCGGAAGTTGCCATTGACAGGTATGCTGAGATATTCCAGTTTGATGTCGTTGGCTTCCGTCGGTTCTCTCGCCAAAACTCGCCGTACAGAGTGTGTAGTGTGAAACCTCATCACCTGAATAAAGACAACTGTATTTATAAGGCTCAAATGCAACATGATCTATGAAAATACAAATTGTGATCGCCTCAGCATACCCATATAAAAACAACTGTACAATACAATTTTTCCTCTCATCTCAACGTCGCCTAAATCAAAACAACTGTACAGTGTAAGACTCGCACTAACACCGAGAAACATTAAGAAACATCAAATGTAGCTTAAATGCCTTTTTTTATCTCTACAAACAAACTTTGTAGTCCAAACTTGTCTTCTACATTTATTTATTGAACATCATCCAAAAACTTTTGTTTTTGATTTCATTTAATATTTTTGTATCTAAAAGTCCTACCAAATGCAGAGATACTAATGTATGCATTTGAACAGACTTAAAAAGCAATAGATGTATACATTTACTATATTTCTTTTACCTGATCTGTAGATATTTCATCCCATTTTGTTTGACCATAGTTTCCCCCACTGACAATAATTAACATAGGTAATTCATTTTTACGCTGATTGTAGAAGTCAGGGAGAGCTAATTCCTTGGAGACATCAAAATTATAAAGCTGGTACACTGACCCAAGGTCGTCTTCTGGTTCTGAAAATATACACACACACTTTAAATAAAGACAAATGTTAAGACAAATGGGCTGTACAGTCTAAAAGCCAGGTTTCTGGTTCTGATAAAAGGAACACCGTATAGTTTTCGTTGTTTTATTATTCGCTAATAAGGTATTCAATACGATAAAATAGCCGATTGGAACAGTGTCCAGAAGTCAAGAAAATTCTCAAAAAACATAATTAGAGATTATATTCTGTTTTTATTAAAAAAGATTAAAATATTATTGTATTTGCTGATTCTTTTCACTGTTTTTCCTTAATCTTAATCTGGGGCACATCGAGGTTATCTTACATACCACACTCAGAAAAACAGGAATAACTAAACAGACAGACAGATGGATGACGATCGAACATTAACCTGGAAGATTATTATATTGTATATCGATGTTCGTGTCATTTTGGCATGGTATATATGGAGATAACGAACAGTATTCAAGATCAAAAGTCCATTAAACAATACATAATTGGAGCAGAGGAACACGTACCTCCAAAACATCAGCGGTGAGATCTGGGGGTCGTAACATAAAGGCTACTTAAGTCTAAGACTGTGCTTAAGTCGGACTTAAGTACAGTCTAAAACTTAAGACCGTAACTAGAAGCGTGCTAAGATTTGGTAATCTTAGCAAAACTTAGGCGGTCGGTAGAGGTGACTTAAGTATATCTTAACTTTCTTGTACATATATTTAGAATTCTTTCATGTTGACTTTCGATGTTAAAATATTCCTCTATTCATATTATGCATTAAAGAAAATAATTATCTCTATTTGACGCTGATTTAAGAATTTTATTTTTTCGTTGGGGGGGGGGTGCTGATCACTGATTGCAATATCACTCCCAACACAGCATACATGTAAATACAAAATTTTATTTTAGGGATACGTCTGAAATTAGAGGGACCTCGGCTATAGAAATAAATTGAACACAGTAATAAACCATGGATCTGTATTTTCACTTTGAAAAAATGATTTGTTAAAAACAGAAAAGAAAGAGGATGATGACAGTAACAATAATATTATAAAAAGTATCTGTAGAACGTGACAAGTGCAGAGTTAGACAGGGCTCACTACAGTTCGAGAGAGAGAGAGAGAGAGAGAGAGTTGCTGATGTGGAGACATATGAAAAAATATCCCAATTTTTTTTTTTTTTTTTTTGTATCCTTGATTAAATTGCAAAGGAGTATATCATAAAACTTCTGCAAGTTTTTGCTTCTGACATGCATGGCCTTATACATAGCGGGGATTCAACATGTATTGAACTCTTTAGAGTTTCAATTTTAAGTAGATAGACGGTCGATTATCTTTTCTTGTCTGCTATAATTACAGGATAAGTGAATATTTGTCAAAACAAAAGGGTTACAAAAGGTAAACTGAAAACATCTCAGGTGATAAAACAATTGTCGTACATCTACAATGAACCACAAATCGCCACTTTCTGACCATGCGGTATTTGTTTCCAAACATTCCGATTAATTTATAACATAATTATAATTTTAATACGAAATCTAATCTATCATAACTTAAACCAATAGGTAAGGACGTCAACTTCAATATGTAATAAATTAAAACCTTAACTGAACCACTTTTAGCAATATATCTATATAAAATCAAAAACCATAGGTTGACTCATATGAAATATTTCTAACATAAGTTTGACTTAGCTAAGACCTAGCTTAGTTCGCTTTACGTTACGGTTTAAGACATACTTAAGTAGTACTTAGACAGGTCCTAAGATTGTGCCTAAAACGTACTTACGACCTTACTTAAGTCAAAAACTTAGCAAGCTTTATGTTACGAGCCCCAGGTGCCATGGAGGAGTGAGCATCCGGACACACACACACCGTGTGTTTCTTTTCATGATCGGAATTGAAACATCCGATTTTTTGTGTACATAATGGACTAACAATAAGTTTGAAAAACGTCAGTCAGCATTTGACTTAATGATAAATTGTATTTGCTGACATGGTTATTGTATCGACCATGGACCCCCAAAAATAATGACTCTAAACGTGACTGCTGATATTCTTGTTTCAGCAGTTTGTCAATAATTAACCTCGTTTTAGAAATTGCTCATACGTAGAACATGCTCTTCTGGATCGAATAAACTGAGAGATAAAACCCCTTATGTCGGTAATGAAGGTATATTACTGCATAATTAAAGGAGGTTGACAATTGAAAAGTTAAATCCATCACGTTTCTCATAAAGTTTTGTTGTCAAATAGCCATTTACGTCTTGTGCAAGTAAGGTATTCAAATATGAAACAGATGTGTCAGACTCTCTGTTATCTTTAATTTCGAGGTCACCGGGATATATCCTGTCTACATATGAAAAGAAATAACCATTTCTTATTGACTATATAAGTCTTCGATATTTCTAAATGTCTAGTTGAAGGCCACAACAAGTGTTTACTTTTTTCATTTATTTCACTTATGTTAGTTTTGTTTTAAAATTTTCAACGATATTTTATCTTATGCATGCTCTCTGTCTGATACAGAAGTTAATGGCATGTTTTATGAATGTAAAATACAAACGCTATTTTTCTTGAACGAATATGTTCCTTTGTTGTAATTGTGTGTCTTTTTATATGATAGCATAAATGAATTTCTAACCCTAACCCTGACTTTTCTTCAAAATACAATGGTAACATTTCATAAATATCATTTTGTAAACCTACCTATTGAAATATGAATTGCATTTTGATATTTTCCCAAACCATTTAAACATTTTTCTTTTAATAGGGTGTATAGCTATTAGGTTGCACCAATAAAAAAAAATCGCTGACATAAATAGAATTGTCTTCATTGAATACGTGATCGGAACAATCATTTACATGTATTGTGATCTTTCAAATTCTTTGTCATGATTATGTAACAGATATTTTAAAGACACATGTAGTATAATGAATACTTATAAGAACGTTTTCTCCACCCAGAATTTATTTGTCTATTGTAGCCTAAAAAATTCTGAATCAAATGTGTTTTATCCTTATTTCTTACGTAATTTTTAACCACATTTAGATTTTATCTTGCGAAGGAAGGAAATAATTACATTTCAAGTTGAAAAGAAGGAAAAGCTATATTTTAATAACTATGCAGGATATTTCATTCGAAGTTTACATTTGTTTACTTATAGTCGTTTAACGTTTATCTCTCTATTTGATACTCATTTTCAATAGTAAATTAAGAACACTATTGCAGTGTCATTTTTATCATCCACTACATTTAAGAAAACCTTATAAATATGAAGTGAAAGTCAAATGTTAGAAAATCAGCCAATCATCATTTAATTATAAATCATATAATTGAGAGAAGATAATTTTCACAAAATAGAGCATGGTCAAGGTATCCTTACTGGAGTTTTTTTTAATATCAATTTTTGAAATGAGCAATCAAAAAGATTTTGTAACTTCAACAGGAGAATGCAGCTTCCTGTGTCCTTGGCATCTTATGTAGCTGTTTATTTAGCAGCTTTATCAAATATAATGGCGTTGATAATAATTCAAGCCTACATTTCTAATTCTACAATGGCCTTTGTTCTCCTCAATCCTGAAGTGGCTTATAACTGTGATCATAACATCCGACATATCTGTACCAAACATGAATGTTTACAATGACCTTGTCAGCAAATACAACCTATCATTAAGTCAAATGCAGAATGACTAAATTTTTTGTACTTTTTTACGGATTTTTCTGCTTTTTTCGGCCATAAAAAGGTGCACATGACGGGGAGTTTTCATACCCGCATGGCACCTGATCCCACTTCTGATATTTTTAGAGGTCTTTGTTTGTAGTGCTCCCAGTCGAATTGTTAAAATTAAAATGGACTTTGAGTGCTATTTCCATATTTCACTAGATTAAGGCGTTTATTGCAAACCTTACAAAAATTCTATCATAAATGTGATATCCTAATTTTTTTCAAGCGTCAACTTCACATTTAATGCATTGATACATAAGGACTCATTGCTTTTGGGATAATGTCTCCTAATTGATTCGATACGAAAGATTTTTCTGAGTACAAACGATTTGTAAACAAGGTAATCAATTGAAAAACAATCGAATAAAATAAAGATGATATATGAAGATAGCGAAACAGTAATAATGCTAAAATACATGTTCTCCCTCAGGTACGATATATTCACAACACACATAAAGAAAAGAAGAAACACGGACCTCTAAAAACATCAGAAGTGAATCAAGTGCCATGGATGAGTAAACATCTATCGACCAGCTACAACCACCGGTTTTATGACATACTGTATGTGTACTTTAAAAAGCGGGCTTTATATTTAAGCGCCTTTGGCGCAAACAACCATGCGCTCATTCATGAATACTGCTAAGAAATCATTAATATATAAGATACACAGTACAGACGTGCAATTAATTCATGGTTACACCAACAACTCCATATCTAGAATTGCGCTAAATTTCGAATACGCAAAATAATGATCACATACAGCATCTTTGCTAATGAGCTTTTTGTTGTGATATATCTGTGAACTGAGGAGTTCTTTTGTACATTTGAAATTCATCGTCCTACTATATATGTGTGCTCGTACTCTATATTGTGACGGTACTCTCGTCTCTTGGTTAATTTACAATTATTCTCAGAGATACTCTAAATCATTTTGTGCTTGTACTCTAAATTATGCGTTTTAATCTGACAGTCAGTGCTTTCGATTGTAAGGGAGATTAGTACGTGTATTTCTCAGTTCTTTTGCGATTTTGTACTGCTGTTGTTCTGATTTTCATATTTTGATTTTGTCTACTTCTTTGATTGCAATGTGCTTTTCAGAAAACTTATTTCTCCGTGCCGGAGTGTTTTTTTCCAACCATGTAAACCTGTGTAAACATATGTTGTTTACAATTGATAAAACTTTTTGTGATAAACCCTCATGGGTATTGATATTAAATGGGGCATACAATGTTATTTCTACAAATATTAAAGTCATCTCGCAATATACGTGTAATACGTTTACTAAAATAAATACAGTATAAAAGATATCTTTTTGTGCATGACTTTTTCTTTTTGAATTTTACATTCAAATTCTTAGATAAAAATAGTATTAACTTTTAAAATGTCATGATGTATAAGAAATGTTAAGGTTACATACACGATACATGATTCATGTCGGGTATGACAGGTCAACAACAGGTTCATTAACCTCCAAGGCACCTTATGCCACCTCCGGAATTTCCAGGGGTCCGCATTTAGTGTTGTACGCGCAGATTTCTTTTATTCTTTTTATTTCTTTTATAAAGTACTTTTCCTTAAATAACTGACAGTTAACATCGCCTATTTCATGCATAAGTCTTTTGATGTACGTCGCAATATAGTCTTTAGTCTGTAATATCTGGACAAATGTAATTCTATGTAACTAATTAAACAAGTAGAACGTACCTTCCATTGCCAACTTTTTACGTCGTTACATTGGGTGTAGTTTTGTAACAGCCATTATCACAAACAGGAAGTTTAATTTACATTGGATCACGGGTATGTCACACATAACTAAGATCCACAGAAATTTAAACAGCTGGAGAAAACTTTGGCATTGGTTGATTCATAAGATCAACACTGAACTAAGAGCACTACTCTGTATTTACAAAGGAATGAAATGATGTAAAGATATGCAATTATAATAAAGATGTATCAATTGCAATACAACAAGCATGTAATAAGTTTACTCACAAAAATGGGAAAAAGATTTTTATTTTTGTAGTAACAAAATCGATTTTTAAGCAAGAATGATATGGAGATAACGAACAGTATTCAATCTCAAAGCCCATAAAACAATACAAAATAAGAGCAGAGCAAACATGGACCTCGGAAACATCAGAGGCGGGATCAGGTGCCATGGAGGAGTGAGCAACCCCTGCTGACCGGTCACACCCGCCGTGTGCTCCTTGTCATGATCAGGAAATAACGGAAAAATTTGTCGTCAATTCAGTGTAAAAATAATGCACTAACAATTATTTTGAAAAACGTCAGTCAGCATTTGACTCAATGATAAATTGTATTTGTTGACAAGGCCATTGTATCGACCATAGAACTTACGAAATGATGACTTTAAAGGAGACGGCTGATATTCTTGTTTCATCAATTTGTTTGTCAATAATTCACCTAGTTGTCGTGTTAGAAATTGTTCATACGTAGAGCAAATTCTTGCTACCTAATCAACTGAGATATATACACTCCGTATGCAGGTGGTGAAGGTATATTGCTGGATAAGTAAGGGAAGTTGACGATAGAAAAGTTAAAGTCATCACGTTTATCATATTTCAAGCATTATTTCAGAATAACGTGTAAGTATTTTGTAAGTATCTGGACACTCATTGTTTCACTGTTTCCGTGTTTGTGTTTTATATTGTAAATTATGTTGTTTCTCATAAGAATTTATAATTTACTTTATGGTTCTTGCTGCAGGGTGTCAATAATATTCCTGAATAAGACGCTTTCAATCATTCATTTTTTAAAAATAATTTTTTAAGAATATTTAGCACATAATTAATCGTTTTATAGTAGGATGATGTAAAGATACCGGAATGTTAATAATATCACGGCTGTCAATAAGCATATTTCAGTGAAGATTTATCATAATATATTTTTTTAAATTCACAATTGTTATACGTTAATCGGTCCCTTATTGAAATTATTGATTAAAAGCAGGAAACATTATATATTCTATCCCTTGATCATTTAAAAGTCTATGGCAAATACTTGTTAAATGTCGTTTATTCCAGTTTTTGCTGAAAATAGCACATTCTAAAATGATCAACCGTTAATATAAACTGGGATGCTTGTAAATTTTTGTGCATTGTTTTGAATTTTAAAAAATATAAAATAAAAATATTGACACAAATCCTTTAAAAAAGAGTGTGTGACAGATATATATAAAGTAAAATCCAAATGTACAAATGCACATGTGTTGATTCAAAAGTAATGTTAATACTGCAATATCATCTTTAACAATTAGATGGTTTCAACAAACATGTTATTTCTCCTATCCTTTTTTTTTCCCATATATATATATACTGAATATATGCATGTATATATTTATATTTTTCATTGTTATATAGCTAATATTTACTAGTACATGTATGACTTTGATCATTGTATTGTAGAAAGGACTTATTAATAAGCAGTGCCTGCTGTCCGATCCTATTATGTTCATTCAAAATAAAATATTGTTAAAATAAATAATTAAAATATATGTACATTTTAGGTAAAAAGATAACCAAAGCGTTAGGTTCTGTCGGCAAAAAAGTGACCAACGTCGTTGTAACATTACTTTATGTACCTCATTTTAAGTTGATCTTTTTATTCATTATCAGATGATTCATTTTATAGAATCTTTATACATATTTTGATATAAATAGTCGTGTTTTGTGTTGTAATATTAATATTATGAAAAAAGTGAAGAAAGCATACAATGATCAATCTCAAACTTTCCTAAATAATACAATTTGTGATGAGGGTATAAAACATGTGGACGTACCCCTGAAAGTTTCAGAAGTTGGATAAGAGGTCTGGAAAGAGTAAGTATAACCTCTGTTGATCGTTATAATCCCCTTAGCCCCCCTTAGCATTTATCAAATAGAGGGTACATTCCGAAGTAAAGTTAGGTAAAAAAAATGTCCAGTGTTATTTCTAAAGTAATACTGTTCTATATTAATCTAATGCATACTCAGATTCAAAATGAATATTCCACAAACGTCATAACGAAGTCGTACATTTTTGTCGTGCAGATATGGACAAAACCCATCGCAGTGTTCATTTAAATTTATGAGGTATTGCATATTTAGATCTGAATGAATTTTAGGCAAAATAAATGGAGACATAAATATTCATTTTTTGAAAATGTTTGATAAATACAGATCTTATCGTAGTTCTTGACATTACTCTCGGATGAATCCCTGTAACACTGACATCTCGTAGATCAATGAGCGTTTAAAAGGCCTTTATGCTATGTTAAACAAACAGATGAGTGTTTTCATTAAACCATGCATGTCAATTATTATATAATTTATGTTTTGAAATGTTCTTTATACGCAATGCGATTTCGTATATGACATCGCCATTACTTTGTACCAAAAAAAATTAACTCAGCAATTTTTCTCAGACACTTGGAGATTATTTTTGTTTACGTTCTTTTGGGCCAATCTTAGCCCGAGACATAAGTTGTCATGGTTTATTGGGACTTCATTTTGCAGGTAACTGCATGGTTTAAATAACAGAACAGATTCAACTAATCTGATTCCTTAATATCCTCCTGCAGTGTAAACTGCAATAAAATCAAAGTTACTTGGTATTACATTGGATAAAATCAAACAGTTAAACAGGGCCTCGTCTAACGAAATGCACCCTTTTTTATCAGCTACTTTAACAAAATTACAATTTCTTTTCAATATTGCTGGTAGAAAAAATAATGTAGATATCTGATACCGATATTTTATTTATACTTTTCGCCATAAATATATTTTAATACGCAGGGACAAAAAATGCAAAAGATTGACTGGATACAAAGCTTAAATTAATTCCGCGCGGAAATGAAAAGAAACAAGGCAAATAGGGAAGAAGAGGACGTAGGTATTGCTTTGTTTGATTTTAAAAGAGTAATATATATATAAATTCATTAGACACTATATTCAACACAATCTAAACTTTAATGTGTAGTTTTTGTATTGTTGTTAAATATTTTAATTTTGTATACCGTTGAAATATTTTGTTCAACTGGAGTATTAATTTTAAAAAATCGTTTCTTCACTTTAGCGTCTCTTGATTTACATTATGTATAAAAAAAATTTCTAACATATGTGAGAGAGAGACAGAGAGAGAGAGAGATAAAGATATCTGCATCTTTATCTTACCCAGTCAATTTCATTTTATTTTATAAAGCTTTTAATGCTGATTCTTAAATGATATTGTCACATTTTGACAGTTTTATTCAAGAATGGGCAAGGTCAATATCAATCGATTATTTATTTTGTCAATTTAATAAAATTTATAAATACCAGACAAAGTGAAAATGTGGTTCAATTAAACAAACATATATAATGTATAATGCTAACTAGAGCGCATACTTGATTTCGTGGTACGTGGTGCAGTGGCATGAGAGTCTGCCCTAGAGTCGTTGTGTAATGAGTTGATCCTTATGTCGAGGGTTCCATTGGCACTGTGGGACGTGGAGACTGGTCCTGGGGATGAGACCATATAGCCCGACCTTCCGTGTCGCAGTGCTTGTTAGCACGACAAAGATCCCTCTCTGCTCACTGGCCATGTGTGCCGAGTGTAGGACAAAATTCGTAGCTTTCTACTGGCAAGTTGTGGCGTCTCCATTATAAAGAAAAATTCTCGAGAAGGATATTAAACAGGAAACAAAATTAGAATAACCTTCGATATACCAGCTACCTATATTTTAGTGGACATGATACAAAACTTGGGAAAATATTTCTAGCATCATTTCTGTCATTTCCTACATTTCATTAAGTGTATAACCTATTCTTCCTCTGCCCAGAGGTAAATATTACTTTAAATTATTATTAAAATTCAAATAATGCTTTAGTTCGGGGTCAAACAAACAGTAAGAGGAATATTTTGACAAATATCACAACGAAAACGTTTGTCCAATTTATAAAGCTCGGTAAAAATCATTTGTAAGAGACATGTTCACGTTGGAATGTGGCCCTGTTCGATAAATTTCCTTAATCTAATGGCCTCTGTCTTTGTAAAGCTGTAATCCTCCTTAAGATCCGCCACCGTAAGATCTTGGACAATTTCACCATCTATCATATCCTCTGAGAATCGTTCCACAAACTTATCAAGTTTTAGTTTGAGAAGGATTTCTCCAAGTTCCTTTATGTTCTTTCCAGACACGTGTTTAGAAACACTGGGCGTATGAATATTTTCTTCTGCAGGAACTTTGTCAGATTCCATGTCCCCATAGTCTTCTTGTGGTAAAACAAAACAATTGGATCGAGGAATAGCATAATCATATTCTCGCTGTGTTGTAGGAGTTTCAATTACTTTCATTTGTTCTCGGTTGTCTATATTTTTTGAGACGATTTCTTTGTCCTTCATCCGTGGTTTAGAATAAATTTCTTTAATTTCTTCGTATTCATTATTCTCGTCGTCCGAGTCTTCGGCCCCGGGTTCTTCTGTCCCTGGTTCTGAGAATGGTCGAACCTGACAGAGAACATCATTTACATATCCCGTTTTTTTCGTAAGAACAGCGTTTGAAATTTCTGGTTTCTTCTCTTCCGTGATCTCTTCGTAGTCTCCGCCATAGATTTCATCATCCGAGCTACACTCTACTGGAACCTGGGTGGTACCTGGTACCTCCTTGGAGTTTGCAGATTTAAGGTTAGAATCCGAGAGTGCTTCAATAGGTTTTATTTTCTTTAAGTTTTTTTCTTTCTTGTGGTCTGCAGAGTTGGTCTTATTAAGGCTCGGTTTTCCATTCTGCAGTCTTGCATCATTAAGTGCTTTCCGTTTTGGTAGAGCTGGTGCTGGTCCTGTGTCGATGTCAGGTTTTTTTGGGATAATATTAGAAATCTCTGGATCGGAGGCCTCGAAGACTTTTACACCTAAAAAAATATATTTGGTTTAGAGGTTTGTAAAATTTAACCTGACTAATTTCCACTCAGTGTTTCATAAGAGACAGATACTGAAGCAAAAATATTTCATTTAACATGCAGCTTTACACCATTTTCACCATAAATTGTTTAGACATCTTAGTTAATTAAATGCGTCTGGGGAGGGTTATGATATTGGGATTTTTTTTATTCGGAGGACAGACCTCTGACAAAAAAGGTTCATGTTGCTATGGTACAAAGAAAACACTTCAAGGTCAACATGTCGCACATTATAATGTCAATAAAATGAGTTGCAAATGCAACCTGTCGTTAGGCAGAATTGACTTACATTTTTACACAAAATATCTGACTATTATTTCCATACTGAAATGTCTTTGTATTATTCATTTTATCTTACAAAGACAAAAGATTCATTAAGTGTGTAATTGACATGGGATGCTTTTCCTTTTTCCAAGATCATAAAGATTCTTGTTTTATCTGCCATCTATTTGCATTGTTTAATTGTACTTTTAAGCATTATTATACTCACGTATTATTTATTGTGTCAATATTCTTTAGCCTTTTTTAATGTTGAGACAATAGGAAAAGCAATGAGTCCAATTACTGAGACTTCTGCATATCAATTTCTCGGAAATTACAATATACATATAGCATGTATTGAGTGTAACCAAATTAACCGAGGCGCAGCCGTGACAATGGTTTTCGACTGTTACTGCATATTTATTATATTATACAATGTTTTACACAAATACATGTAACAGTGAATGCGCGCATAAATTCTATCTATTTTTTGGATATTTCAAGCAATGTTGACTGTTGCTACGCAGGAGGGCGTGCAAATGTTTCTCGACGAATCAGATTCAAGTAATTTACATGAAAGTAAGATATTATCTAATATTTCACCCGACATACGTTGATATGCATCGATAGTCGACAGGGATAGATGTGTAAAAGAATGTGCTCATTTATACTTTATCATTTAAAACAAAGTCTTTTCAATATTTTTATAGTTCTTTCTCTTACCTAGATCACATGTGTCCTCGGAGAATTGACTTTTTTTGTGAACGTAGTCACTCATTCGCTGTAAGTATAGGTTAAATTCTTCCTCTGTTTTGTCCATCAGTCCGTGAATAGGTGCCATGGTGATGATTGGGCAGAGTATGACAGACGCTGTCTCCTTGGTAATGACTCCATGATTGTAGAAGTTTCCCTGAAGGTAAATCTCCTCATATCGATACTCTATCAGGAAGCTGATCAGCATTCCTGTATCACTAGCCAATCCCTCCTTTGGAACTTTACCTCTTTCAGAGAATTGAACAAGAATGGGCAGCGTGTTTTGTTCCAAAATTTCTGCCATTGTTTGGTCCTGGCTTTCTTTTTTAAAGAGAAGTTTGTGATTAGTCTTTCTACGATAAAATATCTCTAGGAACATCCAAATTTTTGTGCATAGTTGTGTAGATAGGTAAAGGTACTGTAATAATATTTTTTTAATGAATCTACTGCATGATGGCTTATTACCATATATGATATATCATCATTAAGCACTGAAAATTGGAAATTATTATTAGTTTTCGTCTGGCTTCAACTACCATACCAATGTATACACTTTCCTTTATATTAGGGTTCGATGGATCCAAGGGTCCTAATTAATTTTACCTTGACATGAATAAAGAAAACTACGAGCTTATCTTTAAGAGATTCCGATTTAAACTTCAAGAAAAATATAGGCTCTTAACACTGGAAAACATAACTAAAGAGTATTTTCATATGAAGTCTATATTTTTTTTAAAATTTGGGCGTACTATGAGTTAAATTTAGTTCATTAATATATTCTTTTGTAGATTTGACAATTCTTTCATAAACTTTCATTTTTACAATAAAATGATTGGTTTAATAGTTTTGATTCTATACCAGATTAACTTTCAATCAATACGAGCATGCAAACAATGTACTTTTCTATGTTAGATTTGACAAAGTAAATCCTGACCTTGGTCTTATTTCACTTGTTGAGTATGGATACATATAATATACCTACTCTCTTTGATGGACTTGACAATGTTGAACTTATATGGACCATTGACAGGTATACTGATGTACTGTTCCTTGTAAGACTTTGGATCCCTCGCCAGAACCCTGGGTTGTCTGAATTCTCTGTCGATTCTCATTATCTAAAACGAAAAAGAATCATTAACTTTTGTCGAGGAATATCAGAAACATCTTTATTGGAGTAAATTAGAGCTGTTAATCTAACATGACATGAATAATTTAAAGTGATTAAAAAGATATTGTGAAAATTGTATAAGACAATTTAGAAGTCTGACAATCAATCAAAACCCTCACGGTGGGTGTGACCGGCAAACAGAGGATGTTTACTTATTCATGACCCAAATGAGACTGTATTTGTTAAAAGGTCATTTGAACGATCATCGTTTATAATACTTGTGTTTATTAAAATCATTATAATAACAACTTCATTGTCAATAGCCTGTTTTGGTTAAAAACGAATCTTTTTAAGAGTACGCTTTTGGTGACATAAACACCATATAACAACTTAAGTAGGAAAGATTACATAATACTGTTGGTCATACACCTAGCTACAATTGTCTATGTCTAGTTAAACCTCCAAATATGAAAACAGTTGTGGAAGAATGTTGTGTCTCTTAGTTCATTGTATAATAAAGAGTTGACATACGAATAGAATTGAATACATGTTTAATTTAAATTGATGATGTGTCGTCGATATATCTTAATGTCGAATTTAAGTCACGCAAAGTGTTGTTTCTTCTCATTTTGATATTTTTGATCAAATTCAATTTCAAAGAAAAAGAATGCTTTTGAAAGACAGTTAAAATCCTTTCACACTAACAACAACTTAATTCCTTTTAATACCAACATTACAGTACTTGTATTTAAAGCAGATTGATATGTAACAAAGTTGTTTTTTAGGTGAACCAATCAAAAGATGTGAAAAGGTAAAAAAGGCCGGAAGATATTTTTAATGAAATATTTATTACATTTTATATTTAGTTTATATACTTATATGATCAATAGGTTTAGTCAATACAATCTGTCTACTACCACTGAATATTATAAGTGATAAATAAGAGGTCACGTGAAATGTTCACAGTGGGTTATTAAGCAGTATACATACCAAATATGAAACAGTTGTGTTTCCAAGAACCGCCAGTGACTGGCGGTAATCATTAATTAGAATTCTTGTGAAATTCGAAGAATGGCAGATTTAAATATAAACAGGTGAATATAATCTTCACAGAGCTTTTAATTGATGATGTGTCGTCGATATATTTGACAAATTAAAGTCACACAAAGAGTTGTTTCTTCTCATTTAGATATTTTTTATGGAATTCTAAAAAACATGTTTGCTTTTGCACGAGAACAGTTTCCACAAAAAATTCCTTATCTCACAACTACACAAATGATACAATGATAAAACATGTAGGAACTCAAATGTAATGTACATCTAAATGAGATATAGATTCAAAATTAATAAAGAATTATGTGTTTAAAGAGATTGTATTTAACAAAGTTAGATTTTTACAAAGGACATATTCAAACATTAAAAAGGACATAACACATTTAAAAATAGGTAAGGTTGGTGATAATATATGTAATTTTTTTAGTTTATATATTATTTGATCAATAGGTTTATCAACAGAATCTGTCTATTAACAATGAAAAATATGATGGGTTAATACGAGGTCACTTAAATTAGTCACAATGGGTTATTAACCAGTATATATACCAGGTCACTGGGAAGGTCATCCCACTTTGTGTTGCCATAGTAACCGCCAGTGACAATGGCGGTCATTGCCCCATATTGTAAGACAATATCTATTGTAAAATATATGCTTGTGAAAAAGTTTTCTGGCAAATGGCAGCTTTCTTCTTTTTCATCGTAGATAACAGTATGTTAAGGTGTACAAACTGAATCTACATATAATTATAATGAAGATTTTGAGAGACCTAAGAGTTTTTCAACAAAATAACTAATCTGAAAAAAATATCAGGTGGATATATTATCTGGAAAGACGCACCATATCGAAGTTACTCTTGACAGTAATCTAGCAAATTTTAGCTTTTGAATACAGTTCGTTCGAAATTTGAAAAAAAAAGAAAATAAATCTGTGAGACATGTATCTAGGACAATTTGAAATATTGAAAGGTATTGAGACATGACAAATAATTAATAACTATCTTGATATCGCCTAGTTTACTTAAAGGGAAGGATGTTGCGATATATTTCCTAGAATGTCTGTTTTTTCTTGATAAGGTAAATAAAGGAAAAAGAAGAAAATGTGTGTTTTAAAGGAGGAAGGGAAATGTAATAACTTGACACTTTTTTATTGTTGACAAATAATTTACACTTCTATTAAAATATTTTTAAAAAATACATTCCTTTGTGCTATCTGTAATCCTTTCATAAGTAATGCTTGCTCTATCCGCAGCTGAATTGTAAGGCATGAACATATATTTATTTTATGTCGATGCATCCTAAATAAGAAATTCATTGACAGTACTTTACATCTAGAAAAAGAACATGGTATATTAAAAGACGACATGAGCTCTTTATACCTATATATATCTTTTCACCTTAAGAATGGACTTCTTTTAATGAAAACAAAAGTTCATTATGTTTAAAAAATGCAATGAAATCGGGATGTTGGTGATAAACATTATACATGTTTGCTTAATAAATAGAAAATATTAATTACAGTAATCGTACTTAATATAAGGTAAATAAATGATGAATAAATATTCATATATGTCCACTAAGGAAACAGAAAATAGATATTCAATGACCATAATTAACCAGAAAAAATATTAAAGCTACTTACATAGAGTTACTAATTGATGAAGACTTTTTTTCACGGAAGGTAGTTAAGCAAAATCTACATTCTATCTAAGCCAGCTAAAAAAGTCTTCCTGGTTTTCCTACTTAACTTCAATTATGTAAACATGCATACACTTCTTGAATAAAACTTCTCTGATTTGCTCTAGTATCGCTGTCCTTGTCATCAGAAAATTGCATTTTGAGGATTTTGTGCATTTGCACTTCCATTCCTCCTAATCTTCTTTCGATTGCCAGAACCGAGTGGTGGAGGAAGAATATATGCATTCACGTCCAGAGATAAAAGTATACACAAATGTATTCTGGGCCTTTTCTAAATTAACTACTGCTTTTCAAATACTTTATGTCAATTTTATTTTAATAAAAGATGATGCAAATTAGAAATTAATTTTTTAAATAACCAGATTAAACATATCTATAGCACATAGATCTCCAAGCATAACACTTTGAAGTTAAACAAACAGCCTCTCACAGGAAAGAGAAGTAAATATATTGAGAAAGTGTCAATTCTAAATCTTAAGTTTTAATGACTTCTCTACAAAATGTTTAACTGTGACTATTACCATAAATTACATGTATTTAATTTGAAATGAATATTCATCGATTGTGTGATTGAATGTAAGCCAAAAATGTTATTTAGAATAAAACCCCTCCAAGTCATCATTAACTTCGGTTATACAGAAGATATGAAACAAAAGAAGCACCACAGTTGCTCTAATATCTTTCGTAATCAAATGCTATTAACCAAGTAGACTAACTTGTATTATAATTTTATCTTATGTCATCAAGAAAATCTCGGCAATATGAAATTAAACTTCCTGGTCCTTCAAATAAGATCTTACAACCTAGGACTAGTGTCAAGGCAGGTGTTGGAATGATAAAGATCCCTCACTGCTTAATAGCCCTGATTTTGAAGCCTTTCGCCGGTATGTAACACCTTGTTTATAAGAGTGAAAGTTCTCAAATACGTGTATGAAGTAAAACATCATTCAATAAATTAATAAATCATATATATAAAAAAAAAGATACTATGGCACAGATAGACAGGGTTCTCCCTGAGCTGTTTTACTGTGTTGCTCCCGACACGGTAAAATTTTCTCCGACACAGTAACGATTCAAATTTTATACGTGCAAGACAGAAAAAATATGCTAATTTTCTAATTAGTAAAAAATTAGAAAATTCAAACAAACAAATTCTCTCTAACTGAAACTTTAATCAAACAATTCTACCGTCTTTCAGTTCTAAGAGATAGAGCATTTAATTACTAGAGCTTCAGCTTGCATAATCAATTATCTCGTAGACCCTCGCCGGACTTCACGCAATTGGTAGTTGTATCAAAATAGATTGTATTTAAAAAAAAAAATATTTTGAAATGTCTTTCCTGTGGAGCCAAGGCTCTAGAATTATGTTAGAACTGTTAGTCAAACAAAACACCGAACCAAAGTCATTTTATTCATGTAAATAAATTGCTTTAATAAAATTTCCAAAATGGTCAAGGAATCCTTAAAAAGTATTTTACTATTCTGAAGTTTTTTTTTTTTTGTAATTCGGTAATTTAATCAAGAAAAGTGACAAATAATCATTGCAAATAAACTTTCAAAAATGTTAAGTAGTTCGACTGTATTGACAGAATTTCCTCTACTTTTCTGAACATGTGCTTTTCCTTTTATCAATATGTACAACCATACCACTTGTGTGAGGAAAAACAAGGAGATAACGAACAGTATTTAATCTCAAAGTCCATAAAACAATACAAAATAGGAGCAGAGAAAACACAGACCTCGGAAACATCAGAGGTGGGATCAGGTGGAGGAGTGAGCATCCCCTGCTGACCGGTCACACCCGCCGTGTGCTCCTTGTCATGTTCAGGAAATGACGGAAAAATCCGTGGTTAATTCAGTGTATAAATAATGGACTTACAATTAGTATGAATGAAAAACGCCAGTCAGCATTTGAATCAATGATCAATTGTATTTGCTGACAAGGTCATTGTATCGACCATAGAACTTACGAAATGATGATTTTAAACGAGATTGATTTTATTATTATTTTATCAAATTGTTTGTCAATAATTTACCTCGTTTTAGGAATTATTCATACACATGCTTTTGCGTATCGAATCAACTGAGACATATATACCCCGTAAGCAGGTGATGAGGGTATATTGCTGCATAATTAAGGGAAGTTGACGATAGAAAAGTTAGAGTCATCACGTTTATCATCGTATCGACGTAGGAATGGCAATTACCATTGTTAATTGACAATACGTCGTCGATATATCTAAATGAGTTGAAGGCCACAGCAAGTGTTTTATTCTTTTCACGCATAAGATTTTGTTTAAATTCTGCTTCATATGAATATGTAAAAAAGTATTCTAAAAACGGAGCGCAATTGGTACCCATTGGACTTCCAATACATTGTTGGAATACCATCGTCTCTTAAAACCACATAGATATTGTCAATCAGAAACTCAAGCATCTCTTTGAGGACAACTTCAGAGTACTTGTGTGCGCAATCAGAGTGAGTTTTAGCAAAATAATTTTGCGAATAACCAATGACCAGATAAGTAAATTTACGAGTTCAATTTTTAATGAAAAAGCAGCTGTCAATGATATCAAAAAGCCAAGACTTTAATTTATCGTGGGGAATGGTTGTCTATAAAGTTGAAAAGTCGTAAGTTTTTAAGCTGTTGATTTTGGTAAAATCTTGTGATTTCAAATTTTCCAAAAGTTCTTTGGAATTTTAAAGTATCCACATCTGATTCACACCACTTCTTGAATATATTGTTGCACAGCACTCGAAGTTTTTCCTTCACTACTGTAACAAATAAGCGATTTTTTAACAAATGTGCGCATGTATTCTTTTGTAATTATAATGAATAGTGATTAAGGTTGCGAATTTGATCAAAAAAATACTGCGAAATTCTTGTGCTTCGCGTAAACTCTGCAACACAGTAAAATTGAAAGGCATTTTTAATACTCAGTATTTTCCACTGAAATCATAACTTATAAAGCAATAAAACAGATATGCTGAATTAAAAGTACTTGTCAAATGATATCGCCATTAGTCTGTTGTGTCTTCGAAACTATTGTTTTTTTTTTAATGTGAAGTAAAAGCCAATACAATATCTTTATTGCTACAAATCTTAAAAGCATAACCTTTACATCCCAATTTGCAAATACAATATGCAAATTAAACACTAAAATATTGCAAACGAAAATGTGTATCAATGTAGCATTACGGAAATCATTATACACGATTTCATATTGAATAAAAGCAAATCATGTCGATAATAAGGGAATCTTCTTTGGCATGGATGGCTCTGTTTTTCAGATCTTGGAGAGACAAATCATATAGGGACGTGACCAAGTTCAATAAATTTTCTCAACCTTAAGGCCTCTGTCTTTGTAAAGTTATAATCTTCTTTTAAGTCTTGTACAGTAAGATCTTGGATAATTTCACCGTCTATCAAATCCTCAGAAAATCGTTCTACGTATTTATCGAGCTTTAATTTCATCAGAATTTCCCCTAGTTCTTTGATGGTTTTTCCTGACACATGGTTTGACCTTGCTTGACCCTTGTCCTCTGTTGGTTGAACACTAAAACTAATGTTCGAGTGAGCTTCTTCCTCTGCCACGTCATCAAGCTCTGGTTCAGCGTACTCACATTCTGAATCCGACTTGAGAGTGTTTATCTGTTTATAATCAGGTACAGCTCGGACGGAGGCGACCTGTTTTATGTTTTTCTCTGGAGTCGGAAGTTTTTCTATAATTTCTTCATACTCATCACTCTCGTCATCGGGATCTTCTGTTTTTGCTTCCTGGTACGGTCGCACTTGACACAGAATATCATTTGCGTAACCAGGCCCTTTATCAGCTGGGAGAGTGGGAAGATTCAGTTTGATGTCTTCATCTATCACTTCATAATCATCGCCATATATTTCATCATCACTGTCATTGGCAGAAAATTCCTTGGTAGCGACAGGGTTTATTTTCGGTTTTGGTTTCGGTTTGGGGGGAATTTTAGCAACTTTAACATTCGATTGAACTTCCCCAATGCCAGATGCCTGACTTTTCGGAGCACTCTGTCGACCTGGAAGGCGAGCAAAATTTCCAGTGTTTGCGGGTTTCCGCTTCTGCTCGTTTTTGTCATCGGATCCTCTCCTTTTCGGGAGTGCTGGAGGTGGTCCTCTGTTTATTTCGGGTTTTGGGGGGATAATATTGGCGATTTCTGGATCAGATGATTCTAAAACCTTTATACCTGTGTAAACACGAGAATTTCAGTAAGACTATAGTTTTGTATCAAATATCTAATTTCTTGTCGACATGTTATCGATTAAAAGTAAGGCAAACATAGACATATTTGTGTTTTAATTTGCTCGTAAAGTATTCCATCTATATAAGATATTCATTCCTTTTTTATATTATACTTTTTATCATCTTACGCTTAGACACACTGAAAAAAAAACTAGTGAAAGTCACTAAAAATACTAGTTAATTTACTGTCTATACAATCACTACCTCAAAAGTAGTTTTATTAGGTATAGGGTAGATTTACTAGATAACATTAGTAAATCTAAGAATTTATAAGTAACTTTCACTAGGTATTTAAGTATTTTTACGACCACCACTCCACTTCTCACTATCTTAGCTAGTAAACAGAGTGATTACTAATCACAAAGAACGCTTTACTTGGCACACTAGTTAAATCAACTAGGTACTTCTCTCAGTTCAACTTTTGCACTTGCACTGAGCCATCTAACATAAATTTGATAAACGAGATAAAAATAAAACCTCTTCGTAGAAATTCAATAAAAAATTGTTATATTTTTAATTTTACATGAAATCTGCTTTGGTTGTACCTCTATTGCATGTTTCCTCGCCAAATGTACTCTTTTTGTTTACGTAGTCCGTCATTCGTTGTAGATATTGATTATACTCCTCTTCTGTCTTTTCTTTCAATCCATAAACAGGAGCCATAGTAATGAGTGGACACAATGTCACGGAAGCACTGTCTTTTGCGATAGCGCCGTTGGAATAGAAATTTCCCTGTAGGTAAATTTCCTCGTAACGGTATTCTATAAGAAAACTGATCAACCCTCCATCCGGTCCCCCTCTCCCCTCCTTCGGAACCTCTCCCCTCAGAGAAAACTGGACCAAAAAGGGCAGAGGATTCTTCTCCAAAATTTCTGTTAGAGTTTGATCCTCACTTTCTAAATAAAGACAACAATAAATTACTGCATAATAATAGTTTCAGGAAGTTCAGTTTTACATGTCTATATTTTTTGTTTCTCGGATATAAGAGAATGATCACTGGATTCTTTGAAAGCATTTTATATATATTTCATATCAAAACGATGATACTTTATAAAACTCTTTCCTAACACTAGCTTTGAAATTCGTGTATTTAGGAAACAATGAGTCAATTTTTTGTTTGATGCACTTTTCTCTAATCTAAAGCATGATAGGGATACATATGTTCTCCTTGATTATGCTTAATGAAATACACGTACTCTCTTTGAGGGATTTGACAACGTGGAATCTGTAAGGACCGTTGACAGGAATACTCAGATACTGGTCACGGTAAGCTCTGGGATCCTTCGCCAGAACTCTCTGTTGTCTGAATTCCCTGTCGATTCTCATTACCTACAAAAGAAAATGCATTGTAATTATTGTTGAACAAAATTGATATTTTCTTATTTCCAGTCTATTTTGTTGCTTTTAAGAGCACACGACGGGTGTAATTGGTCGGCAGCGGATGCTCTATCTATCATGTCACCTTATTTTACCCGTTTTGTTTAAAAGATTTTTGAGCTTGAATACTGATCGTTATCTCCATGTATTTCTTTTTATAGATATTTTACCAAAAAAAAAAACGAACAACAATTAGGGTGAATTCACCATGCATCGGATACCCTTGTACTTCAGCAAGTTCTAGCGATATCGCTACCGACGGAAAATTATCAAAATGGAGTTTAACATTTAGTTTGTGATTAAAATATCAATTTGGGACACAATTACATGCCCTTTATTGAGAAAATACCCTCAAAAATCGAGTTTTTAGGAACAACTCAAAATTCACCATGGATCGGACATTGTTTACCATGCATCGGACAGACAGTATTTTGACAAGAAAAATATCATACCTTTATCAAAGTGCTTTAAAATGCTTGATATGGATATATTTTTATCTTTTATCTAAGAAATAACCCTCAACTAAATTTAATTGACGATATCGTTGCACAAATGTAGAACGATTCAAGAGACCTCAGTCTGCCTTAGAAATGCTTTAAAATGCTTATAATGTGGTAATTCGCGCCCTTTTTTCATGGTTTATCATACTCTGGTTTGTAGAAATAAATTGTGTCAAATTCCAGACGTCATATATCCATAACTTGTATTTTGACTGAAAATATAGAGTTTTTATTTTCTTTTTCAGCAAAAAACAGCTATCAGCTGGGTTCTGTATGAAAATGGTAGTGCTTACCATTGCATCGGAAAGTGTCTGATGCATGGTTAATTTGTGTCCGATGTACGGGGAAGTGAACATACTAGTGAAAACCAGCTCTAAAAAGAATTATACGAACATTGAAGTGAAATTTCTTTAAAATTTATGTAAAATTACCAATCTTTGACTTTATTTACCAAAGTCTGACTCGTTCCGTTGAAGTCGAATTTTAAGAACGATAACTCTAAAAATCGCAAAATCATAAATTTCTGGTTATTCCCCTTTGATGATGTAAAATATGACGTAACTTCAAGGCCATTCTCGGGGTATTTTTATCACATGATAAAAACAATCGGTATCATTAAAAAATTTAAATCTTCAGCTTCTAGACAGAAACAAATAAATACACGGAACTCTCAAGTTGAAAGAGAATTTATTGTCTAAAGTTGTCCGAAGCAAGGTATGTGTCCGATGCATGGTGAATTCACCCTATATGTATCAGTACATTTTTTATCCACAGGTCACATACCATATTATTAATAAATATATCTCTTTCAAAACATTTTCCTTTTAAATTAAACAAAAAGGTTTATGTGGTATGATGCAAAATGTTTTCTTTACCGATAATGACCAGGAGCACACAGCCTGTGTGACCGGTCGGCAGATGATGGTCACTCTTCCATGGCAGCTGATCCCACCTCTGATATTCTAGAGGTCCGTATTTGCTCTGTTCCTATTCTGTATTGTTTTATGGACTTTTGATCTTGAATACTGTTCGTTATCTCCATATGTTGTATTCTATTATATTTTTATATCCTGTAATATCCTTTTTAATTCCTCAGTAAATCCCATCATTATCTCTTGTGATCAGCAAGTCAGTATGATGAATGTTAGACAACTTATCATTTTGATCAGTTTACTCAAATCCAATTTCAAATGATTTACTTGACAGAATTACTTTAGGGATCAAAAACCTACGATGTCACTTGGAAGGTCGTCCCATTTCGTGGGTCCGTAGTGTCCTCCAACAACAATAGCCAGCATCGGAAACTTGTTTGTGTACTTCCGGTGAAACTCCGGAAGTGGAAGTTCTTCTTTTTCGTTATAGATACACGTTGTGATGTCTGGTTGCATTATAGGTCGTCCTGAAATGTTATTACAGATGGCTTGTCACAATGGTAATAAAGATAGCTTGTCTCAATGGTATTAAAGATAGCGTGTCATAATGGTATTAATGAAAGCTTGTCTCAGTGGTATCAATGATAGTTTGTCACAATGGTATTAAAGATAGCTTGTCACAATGGTATTAAAGATAGCTTGTCCCAATGACCTGAAGTATGTTCAGTACAGTGTTAGAAAATTGGAAAACTACTCTCTAATTGTAGAAGTCTTATTTTCTCAAACGCTTGTGAATCAACTGGAAACATACACTGTATACACAGGTGTACTGTGGAATCATCAATGTTCGTGGGAGACCGATGTTCATGTTCAATTTGTGGATCACACTTCTCCACAAATTTACCTCCCCTGGATCATTTATTTTATCAACATTTTATTTATTGAATCTTCTGTATGTATGAGTTACCGACGGAATTATGTCACCATGAACCAACCAAAGCCTGCTTATTCTCGAACACTGACCCCCCAATGATTTCACAGTTATTATTAATTTGCAACACAAAGCAGGGAAGCTGACCATAAAAAAACTTCTAGATAGCACAATTTTAATCGAATTAACATTTTAGATGGTTAGATTGCCATCAATGTAATCTCTAATAAATATAAAGTTATCAACGAATGTGCCGCTGGTTCCTTTTTCAAGTTTAAGAGGAAATAAAAGCTGGCATGTACTGTATATTTTTTGCCTGAAAAAGGGTGCTTTTGAGTCAAATGTTTTGTACAAGATATACTTTTTTAAAAATGTCTTCTCAAGAAAGCTTTAACAATTAAATTTTGTTAGATTTTAAAAATCCTTATTGTCATGAAGGTTTATATTAATTTAGATACTAAATTAGGGACACAACTGTTCAAGCCATGATATGTATATCCATGTAAAAATAGGGAGGGATCTTTATTTTTGTCCCAATGAAGTTAAGCGATGATTACTCCTCTTTCGTACCTGCTCTATCCTCAGGAGTTTGGGGATGCATGTTTTTGACCTATTACAAATTTCTATGACTTCCAGTTTTTTTTTAATCGACTGCTATTTATTATCTTCACATTTTTCCTTGATTTGAATTTTTTTTATAAAAAAAACTTACATGTAGATGATTATGTAAAGGGGCAAATAACAAAAGTACATTTCATTCGTCACGAGAATATTATTGCAATGACTCATGCACCTCTCATTATTTTCTCAAGCGTCTATTTGCTAACATTAAGAAAAGATGTCAACTCTTCCTGCTGAAGGATTGGTTGAAAATTTTTAAAAAGTTCTTTTTTATTACGATAGGATAGTTTTTGTGAGTAATTGTCTCATATGCAAAGGTTAAAATGATTTTTCGGTCAACAAAAACTCGTATACACTGTTAAAAGAAACACGACAAATCAAAAGCATTTGAATTACATAATGGAGAGATCAAAATAGATAAATGGTGTCGATATAACATTTCTACTTGCTTGAAGCCGTATCGAAGCCAAGATCGCCTTGTAGCACGTAAATAATGTGTGATAGATATTTTGAAAATAAAATAAATGACATTAGCTTTTATTTTCTTTTTGATTAAGTTCGGTTACCTTATTGCTAAAAAAAATATGTTCGCCAAATGATCAAATTGTCAATTTAAACTGTAAAACCTGTAACGTGTGAATAAACTAAAGAAAACAAAATACCAGTTAATATAAAGTATTAATATGAATATAACTAGTATATTATGTCATGTATACTTGATGCATACGTTGAACATAGGTCACAGGATTGAAAGATGTGTGGAGCACATGCAGCAAACTTCAAATGTATTCTACCAAAATATTGAAATAATTTTATGAAGAACGAACGATGAAATACACATTTTTAGAACTTTAAGGTAGGATTCTTCTCACACAAAACTATATTTCTTATATTTAAAAATTAATGAAATTTTCCCAGAATCAAGAAGACAATATTTCTAAGTGATGGTATCAGTTAGATTAGTTTTGACCGTTTTATATAAGAGTCAAGGTCAGGTCAAGGTTATTACCTTTTCCCGGGACATTAATAATAAAAATAACTGCATCCAATCATGCAATGGGGTCTTCTATTTTAAAATATTAATTGTTTTTCTTTTTGCATAAAAAAAGATATATCCATATAGGGTTTATAAGATGATATAACCAAATTGACTCAAATAGTTAAACAAAAATGGATTTTGGTTTATCCGAATTTTCTCTATTTTTCTTAATTTTTTTTGATATTTAAGTTATTTTTATATGCGCCCTATATCTAAATTTTTCTTACTTTCACATATGGTAAAGAAGTCACAAATTGATACAAAAACAAAAATTTTGACCGTTTACTAACAGAGTAAAAACACGTTCTATGGATTTTTGGCTCTTATCTGTACTTAGATTGGAAGCTTTCAAAATCATAATTTATTTGATATATTTTAAAACTTTAGTTCCTTATTATTAATTTAGCTAACATTTGATTAATTCTTCAAGTCTTTGATTGTGTGAAAATTAAAACTAAATTCGTTGTTTATAGAATAATTTTGAGAGGCAGAAGAAAAAATATTTTCATACGCCAACATTCCGCCAACAATATAGTCCATGCTAGTTTTCGAACACAATTTACCAGTTCTGTTTAAAGCTGTACAATTGAGTAAAGAAAAATATGATCTTTTAAATCTCTTACACCTAAATATATGAGACATATAAGCAAATATACATTGAATATTTCATCTACTCAGAAACCAGAGAAGGATCCTACCTTAAAATTGTTTTTTTTTCTTCAAATGGAGGCATACACATGAAATATTTAATCCACTTATGTTATCTTTTGTTGCTATTCTCACTACTTTACCTAAATGTTAAACATAAATGTTTTGCTGACTATGGACGATAAAGACTACCTTACAACTAACAACAGAATTTCCGCTATCACCTATTAAAAAGTAGTGTTTTTATGTGTCTTAACTTATTTGCTACTCAATAACTTGTCTTGAGTTCCATCGATTTTATAAATAAAAAACACACTAGTCACGGATAACTTGAGGAAACAACGATTTCAGCAACTTCATTTTAAGTATTTATTTGAATTATGTGCTCGATTAGAAGACCTTGTTGGCAAATATAACTTATCGTAGGATAACTTAGCTTTTTGGCAGACATGTTTCAAACCAAGTGTTTCGTATTATTTTTTTTTTGTTGAATTTATGCACGGAAAGAACCGTCTACCCGGTGATTATACATTCAGGGTTTAGGGTGTGACCTGTTAAATGTGGATGCGGTCCGAGACATCTGATACAACCTTTGTAATTTTCTTGGGTTCATGTTTCACGCCCTGTTCATTTATTGGTATTATAAATTTTAGAGGTGATAAACGTGATGAATTTAAATTCTCAACCGTCAACTTCTCTGGCTTACAAAGTAATATACCTTTCTCATGAGAGGGTTTGAAATCTTTGAGCTGTTACGATACTAAAGAGCTTGCTCTGCATATGATGAACTATTTCTTAATCTGGGTAAGTTACTGATAAACAGAAATATCAACAGTCTCGTTTAAAGTCACACTCCGCAAGTTCTGTGATAAAATGAACTTTTCAGAAAATACAATCTAACATTTCCTCTGATGCTGACTTATAAGTTGAGATTATAAATACACAATATTAAAGACAGATTTTTAGGTCATTTCCTAATCATGACAAAGAGCACATAGCGGGTTTGATGGGTCGACAGGGGATACTCACTCCTCTAGGGCACTTGAACTCATCTCTTCTTCAGACGTCCATGAGTGCTAGCTCTGCTCCTGTTTTTGTACTGTATTATTATACTTTGAGCTTAAATACTATTTTATTCATATAATTCATCGATCACTGCTAGTAATCTTTACTTTTCTATCTAAACATATTCATGATGAAGTTCCCGATCATGACAAGGAGGACAGGGGGATGTGACCGGTTGGCCGGGGGATGCTCACTTCTCCATGGCACCCGATCATACCTCTGATATTTTCAAGGTCCGTGTTTACTCTACTATTTTGTATTGTTTAATGCACTTTTTAGGTTGAATACTATTCATTATGTTCATATATACCATTGCTTTATACATGTATGTCATGGAAGAAGTTTTCATCTTTTGATTGAGCAACACATAAGAAAAAATTCAGACAAATATGCTACTAGTTAGGTGATGCCTTGTTATTCTTTGTACTTGATCAAGTATATCAACATAAGTCTCCTCGGCAGGTGGAAATTTGGAAATGTGTTAAAACCCTGATCATTCATTACAAATTTCTATCAAAAGCAATAGTTCGTTTATAATGGCCTTTATACCCAAAGTAGAAAGAGTTCTAACGTGCGAAAGTTTCACCCTTGGCCTAGTTAGATTGAAAACCTTGTAATGCTTTGTAACAAATTTCTATAGGAAAAATTTTTAACCCTTCATTCAAAATCGTACTATTATACCATTCAGATTTAAAAATGACTCGGATCAAAAGTGTCACCGCACTCTTGCTGATGGTGTTTTTGAATTTTGCTGATGGTGTTTTATAACTAATCAGTAGAACCTTTAATTGTTTATGACATCTACTATCAATTTTTTCTTTATAATCTTCTTACTTTTTTAATGTTCCCATTTACAATTGCCCTCGAAGCGAATCAAATGGTAGTCTTAATAAAGAAATAGGCAAATACGATCGATATTTATGTTTAGTGACTGTGTATAGGATCATTTTGCAAAAGTAAAATATTTTTCAAAATTATAAAAAGATCTTGTTCCAAAAACTAGAACTTTGCTGACTAATCGATTTGGAAGAGGGCGTCTATTTGCATTAGATAATATCCACTTTGCAATAAACTGATTATGCTGTAATTGTTATTCTTTTAGTTACATCAACCTGTTGTCATTTTGAAAAAAAAATTAATAAAGAAATTTAAAAACAAGGACCTAAAAAAAATTAAAATCTATCCAAAGAAAAAAGTTGATAAAAAAGTTTTAAAAAGAATAAAGGATACTTACTGTAGGAAGATATTCCAATAAAGTTAAACTTAAATCAAGGTGAAACAGGAAGTAATACGCTTTTGTTTACATAAGTCGGTGCAGGTGTGCTAAATTTTATTTATCTGATAAACTGAACGCAGGGTAAAGATTTAAAAATGGCGATCATCAAGGCTAATTGTTAATTTTATGTAATAGATAGTGAGAAGAAGCCATGATATGCAAGAAAATGCTTAAAGATGTATGAAATTTTAATTCATAACTCCTTATAATTACATAATGGTAGAGATGAAGAAATAAATCTGTAATACAATCTTTATTGTGACATTGTAAATGTCGAAAAAAAATCTTATCCTGGCTTCCCCGTGTATATTTCGATAAGTTGTTAAGAAAGGGGTTGTAGTTTTTATAGTACAAGGTAACAAGATAACAATTTAAAAAAAACATTTCCAAGACCTATGAATATTCAAAGAGAAAAAATTGTGAAACTTATTTGATTGATTAGAAAAGAATAAATCTTAATTATTTTGTATTCCATCGATGGAATGCAGATAGGAAGAAAATATTCTCACTCGAGAAATTCATTTACCCCCAAATGAAATAAAAAAGGAAATTGTAAGAAAAAAAAATACAAATTTAAATCATTATAGCTGTTGTTGTTACAATTTCTCGTTACCAATATCTTCCTAATTTTCGGGGACCAGGTCTTCCAATGAGCTGTTTGAATAATACTAGGTATTAGGTAGGCTTCATTGATAGCCTACCTGTTTCTATATTCATAGGAGGTAAACTTTATTCATAAAAATTCTAAACTAGAAGTAGAAGCACTTGACACTATATAATTTTTTTTAGGTCTGTACCTTGAGTTCTGTTCGTCAATATGAATTGGTTTAAGATTTTTTTAAAGATTAAGTGTTATCTTCACTTTTTTTATCAAGAGTAATTGAAAGCAGGATAGAACTCAGTAATTTTCCCGAAAATCGTACAAATCCTGAGCAATTTACTACTTAGATATTTTCCCATATTTCCCTACAACATTGAAGTTGTCTTATGCTTGATATCGCTTAAGCTTGGATTAAACATCTTTTTTTATAATTAAATTTTCATTTATGAAAAATGGTCATTTCTTTTTTGGCCCGGAGGTTTTGACTATGAAATAAACGTAAACTCAAAATCTTTTTATACAATATATATATTGGATTCCAAAACTTCATAAGAATTCTTACAAACAAAGATACATTGCGGGTTCCAGTAAATGTTCAACCAAGCCTCTTTCTTGATTCACTAAGATATTGACAATAGTGAAGGAAAAACCTCAAGAGTACTATGCAACAATATATACATGAGGGATGTAAATTAGATGTAAAAACTCAAATATTCCAAAGAGCATTTGGACAATTTGAAATCACAAGAATTTTACCAAAATCAACAGCTTTAAAACTTACGACTTTTCAACTTTATACACAACCATTCCCCACGATGAATTAAAGTACATGCTTCTTGATATCATCGACAGCTGCCTTTTCAATAAGATTGGAACTCGTAAATATACTCACCTTCTCATTGGTTATTTGCAAAATTATTTTGTTAAAACACATTCTGATTGCACACAAAAGTACTCTGAAAATGACATCAAAAAGATGCTTGAGTTTCTGATTGACAATATCTATGTGGTTTTTGGTGACCAGGTCTTCCAACAATCTATTGGAATTCTCATGGGTACCAATTACGCTCCGTTATAAGCAGACCTATTTTTATATTCATTCAAACAGAATTTTTGCAAAATCTTATGCGTAAAAAGAAGAGTTACCATTCCTATGTCGATACGATATATCCTTTTGAGCTTCAGATAAAAGATACCATCGAGTCTGACACATCTGTTTCATACTTGAATATTTACATAAAAAAGACGGTAATGGTAATCTAACAACCGAGCTTTATCATAAACGTGATGACTTTAACTTTTATATCGTCAACTCCCCTTATTTATGTAGCAATATTCGTTCATCACCTGTATACGGAGTTTACATAACTCACATATCTTTACATAACGCAAGAGCATGTTCTATGTATGAACAATTTCTAAACGGAGGTCAGTTATAGAAAAAAGTTGATGCAATAAGAATATCTACAGTATTAATTTCATAAGTTTTGTGATCGATACAATGACATAGTAACAAATACAATTTATCAAATGCTGACTGACTTTTTCAAACTAATTGTTAGTCCATTATTTATACACCGAATTGACAACGGTTTTGTCCGTTATTTCAAGGAGCGCACAGTGGGAGTGACCGATCAGCAGGGGATGCTCAGTACTCCATGACACCTGATTCCCTGATTCCACCTCTATTTTTTTAAGAGGTATCAGTTTGCTCTGCTCCAAATTTGTAGTGTTTTATGGACTTTGATATTGAATACTTTTCGATATGAAAAAAGAATTAGATAGATTACACGATCAGTACGTACTGGTTCCTGCCGACAAAGCAGGTAACAACATTGTCTTCGTTTGTAAGGCTCATTATATTAATTGCATTTTAGAAGAACTTGGATTTAATTCTACGAGCGGTAATCCTACTTATACATATACTACTCTTTCTAAGGAAGAAATCCTTCAAAATCACCTGTCAGTTTTGAATACTTTTAATATTCCACAGAGCCAAAATGAATTTGAACTACCTTATATATATTGGATTCCGAAACTTCATAAGAATCCTTACAAACAAAGATACATTGCAGGTTCCAGTAAATGTTCAACCAAGCCTCTTTCGTTACTTCTCACTAAAATATTGACAGTAGTGAAGGAAAAACTTCAAGAGTACTGTACAACTATATATTCAAGAAGTGGTGTAAATCAGATGTGGATACTTAAAAATTCTAAAGAACTTTTGGACAATTTGAAATCACAAGACTTTACAAAAATCAACAGCATAAAAACTTGCGACTTTTCAACTTTATACACAACAATTCCGCACGACAAATTAAAATCCAGGCTTTTTGATATCATTGACAGCTGCTTCTTCAACAAAAATGGAACTCGTAAGTTTACTTACCTCGTCATTGGTCATTTGAAAAATTATTTTGTTAAAACAGATTCTGATTGTACACATAAGTACTCTGAAGTTGACATCAAGAAGATGCTTGAGTTTCTGATTGACAATATCTATGTGGTTTTTGGAGACCAGGTATTCCAACAATCTATTGGAATTCCCATGGGTACAAATTGCGCTCCGTTATTAGCAGACTTATTTTTATATTCATATGAAGCAGAATTTATGCAAAATCTTTTGCGTGAAAAGAAAAAAACACTTGCTGTGGCCTTCAACTCGACATTTAGATATATCGACGACGTATTGTCAATTAATAATGATAATTTCCATTCCTACGTCGACACGATATATCCTGGTGAGCTTGAGATAAAAGATACCACAGAGTCCAACACATCTGCTTCATACTTGGATATTTTACTTGAAAAAGACACAAATGGTAATCTAACAACCAAGCTATATGATAAACGTGATGACTTTAACTTTTCTATCTTCAACTTCCCTTACTTATGCAGCAATATACCTTCATCACCTGCATACGGAGTATTTATATCTCAGTTGATTCGATACGCAAGAGCATGCTCTACGTATGAACAATTTCTTAAACGAGGTAAATTATTGACAAGCAAGTTGATGAAACAAGAATATCAACAGTCTCGTTTAAAGTCATCATTTCGTAAATTCTATGGTCGATACAATGACCTTGTCAGCAAATACAATTTATCATTGAATGAAATGCTGACTGACGTTTTTCATACCAATTGTTAGTCCATTATTTATACACTGAATTGACTACGGATTTTTTCCGTTATTTCCTGATTATGACAATGAGCACACGGCGGGTGTGACCGGTCAGCAGGGGATGCTCACTCCTCCATGGCACCTGATCCCACCTCTGATGTTTCGGAGGTCCGTGTTTGCTCTGCTCTTGTTTTGTATATTTGTTTAATGGACGTTGAGATTGAATACTGTTCGTTATTTCCATATCCTTACTCCATATCCTTCATTTTATAAAATTTTGGAAAAGATATTTTCCACATATTTATTTACGGAGTTCATAAATCGCACTTGATTCGATATGCAAGAGCATGCTCTACGTTCGAACAATTTCTGAAAAGAGGTAAATTATTGACATACAAAAATATCAGCTGTCTCGTTTAAAATCATCATTTGATAAGTTGTATGGTCAATGCAATGACCTTATCATCCAATACAATGCATCATTGAGTCAAATGCTGACTGACGTTTTTCTTACTAATTTTTTGACCATTTTTATACGCTGAATTGACGACAGATTTTTGACTATTATTTCCTGATCATGACAAGGAGCACACGGCGGGTGTGACCGGTCAGCAGGGAATGCTCACTTCTCTATGGCAACTGATTCCATCTTTGATGTTTTGGAAGTCCATGTTTGCTCTGCGCCTAATTTGTATTTTTATGGACTTTTGATATTGAATACTATACAATTATGGACTTTTTTGTGTAGAATATGGTTTATTATTCACCAGAAAAATATTCATATTTTTCTGGTGAATAACAAACCATATTCAACACCAAAAAAAGTCCATAATTGTTTAATTATATTTTCCAAATTTGAATAAATAAGACATTGAAGGCTGAATGACGACACTTTTCATTAATGAACTTCTGCCGTTGAAAAAACTCCAGATTATAGTTTGTCACTTCCATGTTTTCCTTTCCGTGTTTCGCTGTAAAAGATGTCCAGAAGTTTAAAAATAATCCTGCAATAGGTTTGTGTAATATTTTTCTTGCTCAGTTACGTAGCTCGCTTCGGCCGTCGCAACCACTGTTTACAACGTTGATTGGGGATGTTGATTGTGACGTCACAATGCCAATGCACGTGCAATGACCCTCCAGTGAATACGACCTCAAATCCAGTGAATATTCAGTGTTATGAACTGCTTGCGCTTGTGTAGACTGTAAAGGGAATATAAATAGACTATATATATTTAAACTCGGTTATAACGAGTTCACTAGGATCTATAAAATTACTTCGCTGTATCTGTAATTAGTTATATCCTTATAAAGAATAAGTTTCATTCACACAGCTTGGAATTCAAGATGACTTCGCTATATCCGTAAATTCGCAATATCTGTGTTCGTAATAAACGAGTTTTACTGTATTAATGTTCATTATCTTAATTTTTTAATTAAAACGTTTTTCTGGTTAATTTTAATAAGTAACGACATTTGCAATATCCAAGATTACAAATATTTTTTACAAATTATGTACTATAATATATTATATCTCATGTGTGTAAAAAATCTTAAGTTTCAGCAAAAAGGGGTGAACTGAAAGCCAACTTTCTTTAAAACTCATCAAGCTTCTGTCTATGTAACATAAACACAAACTGGATATAATAAGCAAGAAAGGTCGTTGAATATTCATAAACGTATATGCTAGTTTGATGATGAGAAGCAAAATGAGATAATAAAAAAAATATGCTTCAAATACCATGTTTACAAATAATGCACAGATAACTTTACACTGGAATGTGACCCTTTTCAATGTATTTCCTTAACCTTAAGGCCTCAGCCCTTGTGAATTCAAATTCATTTTTCAAGTCTGCTGCTGAAAGTTCTTGAACAATTTCTCCGTCTACCATGTTCTCGGCGAATTTTTCCACGTATTTTTCAAGCTTTAATTTGATAAGGATTTCTCCAAGCTCTTTAATAGTCTTTCGAGATACATATTCCGACTCTTTCGGTGTTTGGATATTGTCTTGCACTAAGGTAAAGCCAGCATAGGCGTCCTCTGGATGTTCTCTGCCGATGGATCGTGAAAAGTAATCGTACTCTGGCTGTGGTGTCTGTAGTTTTGCTGTTTTCTGATCGTATCTTCGTTCATGCGAAATAATTTCGACATGTCCTCTGTTAGATTTTGGGGTGGACATAAACATATACTCCTCATAATCGTTCTGGTCGCCGGTTTTCTGTGTTATAGGAATTGGCTGGACTGGACAAAAATTATCATTCACATAACCATTAACTTTCTTTGGCTGCACAATTTGAGTCGGCAATTCAGAACATTCAACAATCTCATCATATACATCTTTTTCATTGGTTGATATTCGTTTGGTAACAACTGGTTTTGGTTTTACATTCGGTTTGGTTGATTTTCCATCTTCTGATTTATTTCTCTCTCCTTCTTTTACACTCTGAGTTGCCTCACTGTCATGAGAGTTTTGAAGGTCCTGCGTCTTTGGAATGATCCCAACTTCAAAACGCCTGATTCGACTTGAAATCGCTGATAGTTTTGACCTCCGTCTTGGACCTCTTTTAGGAAGTTCCGGGGCGAGACCGCTGTCTATGGCCGGTTTATTCGGGATAATGTGAGCAATTTCTGGATCAGATTCTTCCAGAACTTTGATACCTGTGAAGAAACACTTTACATTTACTGTTAATATTAACCCTCACTCACAACGCTAAAATCTTTCTTCTATATCTAATTTATTTAAGGTATAGGTTTCCTGCGTTAATGCCTAAAAGCTGGATTATAACTTTAAATCAACAATTGAGAGCTTTACGAGGGGATATCAAAAAGTTCGTGGACTAGCGCCATAAAATTAAAACCGCTTTAGGCACATCAATGAATTTCAAAATATCTAGTTGGCATCATCTTTTCTATCTAGAGAATAAATGATAAATCACAAATTTTATTTTTAAATAAATTAGTAATGTTTTTGTAAGCAATGGTATGCCCAGGCGGCGCAACCTCGAACACGACGTTTTTGCGACCTATGTTTAACTGAGAAAAACTCTTAATGATATAAACATTTGACATCCAAAAATCCCGTAAATTCAGGTATGTGTCGGACCACAATTGTTCCATAAAATATGAAATTTTCACTTCATTCTGAAAGTTCTATGAAATTTTATCGTAAATTTTACATGGAATGTACAAACAAATGAGGCCTTGAAAATGACGTCAAAAGGGGGGAGGGGTTTCCTTTTCCAGCATTCTTTGAAGTTTTGCCCCTGAGAAAACTTGTATAGACCTAAGAAATGTTTAAATTGGCTACATAGAAATAATATGCGTTCAGAGTACTTGTCTTTTAATGTCAAAATAGATTCAGAAAGAACAGGGATACACAGTTAATGTCGATTTGTAGTCAAGGTGTGTAATATCAATCACGTAAAAAAATGACGTTGATCATGTTTTATAGATATTGAACAACCAAAAGCAAAATATGCTGGAACAATCAAGCCAGGATCTCTCCCAATATATAAATCCATTTGGAATATTATATTCATTGAAAGCCGCTGTTAATGACATTGTAAAGTCATATAAACAAGGTGGGTTTAAGTCCTTACTCACCTCCAGGGAATCTCATAAAAAAAATGTATGAAGTAGGAGAAGAAAAGGACATTAAAAAAATGACGTTGTCGGACGTCATGAAAATAAACGACGACAGTACCGGGTGACCAAATAATGTCGTTTTTATTTTATAATAATTTGGCAACTAATTAACATATCGAGCTAAAATTTTCAACATTTCTTTATTTTTTGTTGTTTTATGTTTCATATAAATTTTGAAAGTTCAGACTACATAGTACTAATTTTATAGCCTCAGTCCACGAACTTTTTGATAACCCCTCGTACTTATACAAATAAAATTCCAAAAATTCTTGTTGTAACTAGAAGACTCCGACAAGAATGTACCTCTACTGCTTAATACTACTAATTAATAAAAAAAAAAGTTTATTTAAACTCGTTTTGACACAATTTTTTTGAAACCTGAAAAGCATTGTCATAATCTTTTTGTATTTATGATTGAAATCAAACTGAAACTGTGCAATTATTCACGCAAAAGCCTATATATAGTGTTTTAATAGAAGATAAGATCACTTTAATCAAGTTTTCATTATAGGATAGGATAGTGTCGTATGCAAACAAGTACACACTTGTGTCAAAGTTAAGGCTACTTATGTCCCAAGCCGTTCTGAAATCCGACAGTTCCTCATTTAGTTGTACCTTTTTGAAAGAATTCAACTTTTTTTGAAAATATGCCAACTCGGTATATATTTTCATGAAGATTAGACAAGGTTAAGAATTTTTTTTTTTTAAATCTACCAGACCCTGGAGAATTTTAAGGAAACAATAATTTGCCATTCAAGATTGAAGACAAAAAAGCGAAAAGGATATTTCTGGAACTGTTTACAGAGGGCACTCAAGCCGACAGACGACTTCACTTTTTTTATTTCATGAGCTTTTCAGGACTCTTATCAAAAGATCAAAAATGTTTGACACTTTATTTCCGTGAAAATAATGATTTTATTTGCTATTTTACCTAAGTTACAACTATCCTCGGAAAATTTACTGTTCTCTTTGACGTAGTCTGTCATGCGCTGTAGATATTGGTCATAATTCTCCTCTGTCATTGTCATCAGCCCGTGGACGGGTGCCATGGTGATAAAGGGAGATAACATGACAGAGACACTCTCTTTAGTGATGCATCCTTCAAAAAAGTAGTTTCCTTGGAGGTAGATTTCTTCGTGACGATGTTCGATAAGAAGGTTGATTGGTTTTCCATCCGGACCTCCCTTTCCTTCTGTGGGAACCTCTTGTCTCTCGGAAAATTGAACGAAGACTGGGAGATTGTACTGTTTCAATATATCTGCCATACTTTGATCTTTGCTATCTAATATAGAAATAAATATTTTTTGAGATTGACGTCCGTGCATATTATATCTAGTTCCTTCTATTCATTTCATACTATTTACTTTTACTGTCAACTTCCCTTACTTATGCAGCAATATACCTTCATCACCTGCATAGGGAGTGTATATATCTCAGTTAATTCGATACGCAAGATCATGCTCTACCTATTAACAATTTCTTAGACAAGGTAAATTATTGACAAGCAAGTTAATGAAACAAGAATATCAGCAGTCGCGTTTAAAGTCACCATTCCATAAGTTCTATGGTCGATGCAATGACCTTGTCAGCAAATACAATTTATCATTTAGTCAAATGCTGACTGACGTTTTCAATACTAATATATATTAGTCCATTATTTATACACTGAATTGACAACGGATTTTTTCCGTTTTTTCCCGATCATGACAAGGAGCACACGGCGCGTGTTACTGGTCAGCAGGGGATGCTCACACCTCCATGGCACCTGATCCCCCTCTGATGTTTCGGAGTCCCGTCTTTGCTCTGCTCCTATTTTGTATTGGTTCAGGACTTTGATTTTGAATACTATTCGTTATCTCCAAATTCTTCTTTGCTAAATTGAAGATGTGATTATTAATACGTTAATAGAAAGATTACATAAAAATTGAATGTAGATTATGATGCTATAAAAAAATGGAATCAAATAAGATAATAATAACTAATAAAACAGAAAATGCCTTACGTCTCATGAATGATTTAACAACGTTGAATTTATACCGTCCATTTACAGGTATACTTATATACTGCTTTTTGTATGATATGGGATTCTTGGCCAAAACTCGCTGCTGTTTAAATTCTCTTTCGATTCGCATCACCTAAATTATGAGAGATTTATTTTTTTTATTTTTACCGAAATTACTCTTCATTTTTACAGGAAAGCGTTGTTTGTTATTGTCAATAGCGTTGTTCCTATTGCAACAGCTGTACAGTCGTTCATGCAATCAGATGTTTTATGTTTAAAAAGTATCCTCAGTATGATCGTTGATTTGTTTCAGTTCATTATCAACTAATATCCACAGTTTTGTCATGAAAAAAAATTATATTGAGTCTTTTTTTTTGATACTCAATTGCATCATAGATATTTAAAAAAACGTTAACTTTTTTCTCTAAAGAAAATTGTACCGTTATATCTGTGGGATTCTTTTACAAATTGGTAAGATTGTAGTAGAAATCAGATTTGCCAAGTGAAAAAATCAAATTTATTTCTTTCAAGCTGTCACCATTTTAGTATATCCGAATATTTCGTAAAAATACGTATCAAAATTTATAAATACTTAAAAAAGGTCTACATGTACAGTTACAATACAATGTCATTCTTTTATTTATTTTTATTTATTTATTTATATATTTATTTTTTGTAAATATGTATGCAGGTTATGAATTTATGTAAAAAAAAAGGCAATCATTAGTACACATTGATTTCACATGAACACATAACAAGAGCTCTTACAGAATTCATTTAAGCATGCCAATAGAAAGTATCACAGGTATTCAATGTATACTTGTTCCTGAAACACAATGAAAATATTGTCAGAGCTTACCAGATCACTGGAAAGGTCGTCCCATTGAGTGGGCCCGTAATGTCCTCCAACAACTATGGCTATCAAAGGAAACTTGCTTTTGTACTTCCGGTGAAAATCTGGTAGTGGGAGTTGTTCCTTTGTATCAAAAATGCAGGTATGGGAGTTCATGGTTTCCTCAGATGTTTTGTACTGGTCCATGATCGAGATGAATCTGCGAAATTTATACCCTAAAAAGAAAATGGAATAATATTATCAATTGAAATACTGTTAAATCACAAATTTTCTGGGGAGTTAATTTTCGTTGTTTTTGAGGTATGAAGAGACCCATGAATTCATGTCTACCACGAAATGTAAAAAAATTACATGCATAACTACTCAACATTCTTTATCCACGAAATTAAAACCCGACGAAATAAGAATTTTTCCTCAAATCACGGAAATTAAACCATACGAAAATATTTGATTTTTTTTTTACAGTATCATATAAGTTGTAAAGGTTGTCCTTGCTTTCAACCATCCTAAAACTATATAATATCAGTAGTCTCGTAAATAGTCATTATTCGAAAGTTTCATGGTCGATACAATGACCTTTGCAGAAAAAGCAATCCAACATTTAGTCAAATACTCACTGAGAAAATTTTCACAATAGTCAGATAATTATTTACACTCTTAATTACCTCCTGATTTTCCATTATTTCCGAGTACAAGGCGGATATGACCGGTCGGCATGATCCCACCTCTTCTTGTAGAGGTCCGTAATACATCTCTACTTCTGATTTGTATTGTTTAATAGATGTTATAGAATTATATATCAAATTATATTTCATCCAGACATTTAATGATTTAATGATCTTGAGTACTGTTCGTTATCTCCATATGTTTTATCATTTTATATATATATATCTCGAAATTAAGCCATTTTCAATGCATGATCTAGATAAAAGGTCAGTTTTCTTGTAAGTCTGAATGTTTTTAAGATAAGAGTTCGAATGACCTAGCAGTGCTTTAATTTAAATTGCCTGAAAGATGTAAATTCGACTTTCTCGTAAAACGGTATTTCGACATGAAAATAAAAGTTAATTTTGAATCACTTGTAAGATCATAACTAGATGCTCTTATACGGGAGAATTTAGTAATGTTTTTATGAATAGAATTGGCATTGCTTGTTAGCTTTAAGTTCGATATATATATATATATATATATATATATATATATATATATATATATATATATATATATATATATATATATATATATATATATATATATATATATATATATATATATATATATATATATATATAATATACATGCACTAAAAATGACCAACGACACGAACAATAAAAATTGTCAAATTTTCGGGACGCCCTGTCCCTTCCTCATACAAAGAAAAAAGTTAAAAAGTCATAAGAACAAAGGTAAGAGAAACAAAAACAACTAGCACTACTACTAAACACTAGATATTTACATACTTAATTACATGATGAATTGGAAATTTTTAAGAACACTAATAAAGAAATTATCCAAATCCGGACCGCTATGAAATGCGTCCGGTCTATCGGGTATACTCGGGTGAAGTGCGATTTACATAATTGAACGAATTAATTATGCTCATTAATTACGACAGTCAGTAAATCGTACATTGTTTCATTCTCTCAAAATGGCGTAACTTTACTTAATAAAGAATAATTGAAGAAAAATAATATAGCAGGGATATTTAAACATATGAATTATGATCAATTATAAATTTTGAAATATTTAAGGACTTATTACCGGGAAAAAATAATTAACAAAGGTGTAAGCAATGCATAGTTATGAGAGTTGTTCGAGAGTTGGTGACGCAAATTAACTGTAGAGTTTACACTAAATTGAGAGAATAATCTTGTTTAGTATCATCAGGAATTGGGTCTAGTTTACGTTCATTCTGGTGAAGTCATTCAGTTTGTTAATACCGTTAGGGCGGAATGACTTCAATCTGTGCATCCAGAACTTTTCTTTGCTTTTTCTCTGAGCATCTGTCCATCTTGGGTTATGGTCAATCACCACTACTGTCATGTCCTCCCATTTGTGACCCTCAAGGTTGAAATGTTCCCCAACGGGTTCATTGAGTTTTTTGGTCCTAATGGTCGTAAAATATGGTTATTGACTCTCCTGCGGAGATCTCCTGTTTCACCAATATACTGTTTGGAGCAAACTTTGCAACTGATGAGATAAATGCAGTTGTCAGTATGACAGGACAAATTCCCTAGTATTTTGTAGCTGCGGCCTGTAACAGGGCTGTTAAAACTGTCTGTGTCAGTGCTGTGCTTACAAAGAAGACATCTTCTGTCAGAGCAAGTTTTAAACCCCCCGTAAGGTAATGGGTTGTGCAGTCTGGTTCTTACTACCATGTCCTTTAGGTTCCTTGGGCGTCTGTATGCAGCCAATGGGGGTTCCTTAAAGACCTCTGCCATTCGTTTGTTTGAATTTTTAAGATTCAAACAAACGAATGGCAGAGGTCTTTCAAGAAAATTTTGGAGGCCCCCATTGGCTGCATACATATTAATTTCAAGGAACCTAAAGGACATGGTAGTAAAATGCAGACTGCACAACCCATTACCTTACGGGGGGTTTAAAACTTGCTCTGACAGAAGATGTCTTCTTTGTAAGCACAGCACTGACACAGACAGTTTTAACAGCCCTGTTACAGGCCGCAGCTACAAAATACTTTTCTTGGGAATTTACTGTATATGTGCTTTTACTGTCAACTGCATTTATCTCATCAGTTGCAAAGTTTGCTCCAAACAGTATATTGGCGAAACAGGAGATCTCCGCAGGGGAGACAATAACCACCGTTCGTCCATTAGGACCAAAAAACTCAATGAACCCATTGGGGAAAATTTAACCTTGAGGGTCACAAATGGGAGGACATGACAGTAGTGGTGATTGACCATAACCCAAGATGGACAGACGCTCAGAGAAAAAGCAAAGAAAAGTTCTTGGATGACCCAGATTGAAGTCATTCCGCCCTAATGGTATTAACAAACTGAATGACTTCACCAGAATGAACGTAAACTAGACCCAATTCCTGATGATACTTAAACAAGATTATTCTCTCAATTTAGTGTAAACTCTACAGTTAATTATAGCGTCACCAACTCTCGAACAACTCTCATAACTATGCATTGCTTACACCTTTGTTAATTATTTTTTCCCGGTAATAAGTCCTTAAATATTTCAAAATTTATAATTGATCATAATTCATATGTTTAAATATCCCTGCAATATTATTTTTCTTCGATTATTCTTTATTAAGTAAAGTTACGCCATTTTGAGAGAATGAAACAATGTACGATTTACTGATTGTCGTAATTAATTAGCATAATTAATTCGTTCAACATTAAGGGCATTATGTAAATCGCATTACACTGAGTATACCCGATAGACCGGATTTCATTTCATAGCGGCCTAATTTCAATAAATTTTTTATTAGTGTTCTTAAAAATTTCCAATTCATCATGTAATTAATATGTAAATATCTATGTTTAGTAGTAGTGCTAGTTGTTTTTGTTTCCTTTTTACCTTTGTTCTTATGACTTTTTAACTTTTTTCTACTGTCCTGAGGAAGGGACAGGGCAGTGCTTTAATTTAATTTGACAATTTTTATTGTTCGTGTCGTAAAACGGTCATTTTTAGTGCTTTATATAAATTTCCATCCGTGACCTTGTATCTACTTGGTAGATCCGACATTTAGGATATACAGTGTTGTTGGTTTTTTATATATATATATATATATATATATATATATATATATATATATATATATATATATATATATATATATATATATATATATATATATATATATATATATATATATATATATATATGCTTGTAAGACCTATTCAACTTATGGGGAAAATTTAGCTCAAAGCATTCTTAAGATATTAATCTGATATGCTTCTAGCTTTTATGTTCTGCATGCTTGCAAATTTTAAGTTGGACTTGCTTTTAAGAAGATTGAGGATAATAATACAAACTTGTTTTTAAAAACAAACACTTTTAAGGCGATTTACAGACAATGAAGATAAAACAAGGGACAGATAATTTTAAAACACAAAAATTAGCCACATCATGATATTTTTTTAAAAACAATTTCTACTTTGAACATCTTTACAGGTAAAATATACCGTTAACATATATGGGACCTTTTTTCTCATTTTATAAAATTTATATCTAACGAAAAGAATCCTGCAATTGAATTCTGAATAATTGGTGATACGATCAAATGGTAGGAACCTATGAATAGGAAAAATATTGAGAAGAGTTTCTTCGTCAGCGAATAGAATTTATCATTGAGACAATTGCTGACTGATATTTTTCATACTTATGGTTAGTCCATTATTTATACACCGAATTGATGACGGATTTTTCCGTGATTTCCCGATCATGACAAGGAGCACACGGCGGCTGTTACCGGTCAGCAGGGCATGCTCACTTCTCCATGGTACCTGATCCGACCTCTGATGTTTTGGAGGAACGTGTTTGCTCTGCTCCTATTTTGTATTGTTTTATGGACTTTGATGTTGAATGTTGTGCTTTATCTCCAAATCCCTCTGTGTTAGTGTAACGAGTATCAGAGCGGATCTAACATATAATTTTAATTAGATTGTGATTGAAGACGTAGCTAATTGGTAAAATTCAACGGGTCTCGTCTCTGTATAAGTGAAAAATTTTTCAATGGGACATAAAACCAAATAATCAATTACGCAACGGGGCTAAATTAAGACTGTAGAATTTATGTCCCTATGCCATACGTCTGCATCGTTTTGTTAAATTAAGGATCTTAAAAATTAATCCGACTATTTATGATAAAGGTCTTGAATAAAACATGGAGAAAACAGACAGAATTCAAGATCAAAAATCGAGAAAACAACACAAAATAGGGGCAAAGCAAACACGGACCTCTAAAACATCACCGGTAGGATATTTATTTCAAGGGTCTCGTTTCCAGGCATCATTTTGATTTATTGATTGATTGATTGATTGTATACTGTTTAACGTCCCTCTCCAGAATATTTCATTGATATGGAGACGTCACCATTGCCGGTGAAGGGCTGTAAATTTAGGCCTATGCTCGGCACCTACGGCCTTTGAGCAGGGAGGGATCTTTATCGTGCCACACCTGCTGTGACACGGGGCCTCGGTTTTTACGGTCTCATCCGAAGGACCGTCCAATTTAGTCGCCTTTTACGACAAGCAAGGGGGTACTGAGGACTTATTCTAACCCGTATCCCCATGGATCGGCATCATTTTGTAAGTTTCATGGTGATACAGTGATATTTTCAGCAAATAAAGTCTATTTTTAAGTGAAATGTCGACACTCTGTTCATATAACCAGTCTCCAGGGAGGTTACTTTCCTACATAGCACCCAATTGATTCTTTGGAGGTCTGCTCCCGATCTGTGCTATTAATGTGGACTTTAATACTGTTCGTTGTCATCATATTCCGTTTAATACCAAAGTATATCAATTAGCTCAAAATAATACTAGTAAAATGAAATCCCCCCCCCAAAAAAATAAAAGACATTTAAACATTTTTTTTTCTAGTTTCATAATAAAGTTTAATAGGCAATTTGTATTAACAAAGAATAACCCTACAAGCTTACCTTTCAAATTCCTAAACCGTCTGTATAATCAGTATTGTTATTCTTCTGTGCACTAAAAGTCACGTACATAAGACCTTGAAAATAGAAAATCTCAGCGATCCTTTGAAGAAACACGGGTACTCCTACACCCTAGGGTATATTCTTTCGTAATGATTGACCCAGATATAGGCAACTCTTCATAAAACACGCTTCTTACAAAGACCCTTTTCAAATTCCTTTCCCATAGAAATTCAATCTTCCAACCTGAGAGTCAGATGCAAATTTTCTTAAGGGGAATTTCTTTTAAATTCCTTTAATTCTGAATGAGTTACTGGTTTTAAGAATACGAGGTTTCATAATATATGTTTCATTGAATAAATATTTCCAAAATAACTTTTGAAAACCTGAGCGTTTGGTTTAGATTTTGTATCTGATGTTAATTGTTCTATGAATTTTCTGAAATCTTTGAAATAAATGGAAATTACTGAAACAATGATCTTATGTACGTACAAAAAAAAGCGAGAAACTAGCAAACAGTGATCAATAAAAACTGAGAAAAGGGTACAAACACAGGCCTCTGGTGATGTTAGAGGTGGGATCAGGTGCCTAGGTAAGAAAATATCCCTATCTTGACAGGAAACACCCGTCGTGAATGAAATGTTTTGTTCAAGTAGGCGGAATATTCTGTAGTTAAATTAAGTGTGAAATATTTATGGACGTAACAAACGTATTTAAACTCAAAAGTACATTCAAACAATATAAATCTGGGTGGGCACAGGATAAAGGTTTAAAAATGGCGATCATTAAGCTTCATTAATTTTTTTTGTAATTGATAGTCAGTAATAGCAATAAATAGCATAAAAATTAGTACAGGGTGAATGATATTTAAATTTGCAACTCCTTAAATAACTCCAGAAGATATAAAGCTGTAATAAAATATTTACTGCTATTACCGTTTAAACTTATAATAAGTACAAGAATATTTTGTGAGTTTTATTGTCGATACAATGACCTTGTCAGCAAATATAATTTGTCATGAAGTCGATTGCTGGCTGTTTACACAATTAATTTTTCATGGATATTCCGTTATTTTCCAATTATGACAAGGTGAGTGACCTGTGAGCAGGGGATGCTCACTCCTCAATGGCACCTAATCCCACCTGTGATGTTTTGGAGGTTTGTGTTCACTTAGTATTCTGTTCTTAATTTGTGTTCTTTCATGGACTTTTGAGCTTGAATACTGTATATCATCTCCATATAATTCATCGTAAAAATGTTCTTACTGAAAACTGAAGACAATTGTATTGACCACATTTTGTAATCAAAATCTTTTGTACAAGTATAAATTGAGCACAAGCTCTACAAATAGCCCAGACTTCAATTTGAAGAACTCCTGCGACCACACAATGAAAATTTGGTGGTCAGCTATGATGTATCTTTACTTTACGCAAATATGCAATGGTAAGAGCTAATGGCTGCTGTTGATATGGTTTGCAGAGAAATTGACGACAACGAATTCTCAATCTAAGTCCCGCCTACAGCAAAAGTAATTTATACAGGTTTATCCCTGAAAGTAATTCAATGCATATATTTACAAGCAAATCCTTGGGGTATTTCATTATTGAGAAAGCCTATGCTGTTTATTTTTTATCATTTTGCATCAATTTCTTAAAACATCTACCTATTATATGATAGTTTAATTTTTTTTATTATAAAAAATATATCTTGTGAGTGTAAACAAAGCTATTTTACAGTTTCTGTACAAGAAGGAAATTGATAGATAATGTCAAAATTTAACAATCCTTTCAACAGGTTCCTATCTTTTCAAACCAAAAAATGTCATAAAAAAACTCAACAATTTATATTCTAGTTTGTAATAGGGAAGTAATATATTTATCTCCAAGAATGAACCAATACATTAATTTCAAAGGATCACAGGATATTTAAGGATTTAGTATCAATATCTACAAGGTAAAAATAACTTTATACTGGAATATGACCATTTTCAATGTATTTCCGAAGCCTCAAAGCCTCTATCTTTGTAAATTTAAATTCATTTCTCAAATCTTCTGCTGAAAGCTCTTGGACTATAACACCGTCTACCATGTTTTTTGCGAATTGATCCACGAATTTTTCAAGCTTTAATTTGATAAGGATTTCTCCAATCTCTTTAATTGTCCGTCCAGACACATATTTCGACTCCTTTGACGTTAAGCCAGTACATGGACCCACTGAATGCTCTGTGACGTATGGTTGTGACACTATGTAATCGTACTCTGGTTCTGGTGTCTGTTGTCCAGCTGTTTTCTTATCGTACATTCTTTCATACGAAACAATGTCACCATGTTCTCTGTTAGATTCTGGAGTGGACGTAGATTCTTGGATGTACTCCTCATAATCATTTTCAGCGCCGGAATCCTGTGTTATTGAAATTGGTTGGACTGGACAAAAATTGTCATTCACATAACCGTGTACTTTCTTTGGCTGTACATTTGGAGACTGCAATTTGGAACATTCACCAATCTCTTCATAAACGTCTGTATCCAAGTCATCGTTGATCGTTTGTTTGGTAAATACTTTTGGTTTTGGTTTTAGTTTCGGTTTCGGAGGTTTTTCCAGTTTTGCTTCATTTTTCTGTTCTTCTTTTACACTCTGAGATGCTACACTAGTATCAAATATTCTGAGACTCTGTGTCTCTGGATTGAGGCTAACGTCAAAACGCTTGCATTGACTTGAACTCGTTGACTTTACTTTTGATTTCCGTTGTGACCCTCTTGCAGGGAGGACCGGAGCTGGTCCACTGTCTTTTGTCGGCTTTTTCGGTACAATTCGGGCAATATCTGGATCGTCTGCTTCCAGAATCTTGATACCTGTATCAGAAAATATATAAAGACTCAGCAGAATATTTCTACAGTGCCATGTTGAATGCATGACAGAAATATTTTTTTTAAATCAGATGTTACTGGGGAGATTGTAGCTCTACTAGTACAATAAATTGTGCAAAAAGTAGAAACAAATTTTGTTTGTTTTAGCCTATTATACTAATTGTTAGTCCATCATTTATGCACTAAATTGACGGATTTTCCCGTTATTTCCGATCATGATAAGGAGCACATGACGGATGTGACCGTTCGGCAGGGGATGCTCAGTCCTCCATGGCACCTGATCCCACCTCTGATGTTTTGAAGGTCAATGTTTGCTCTGCTTCTCTTTTGTATTGTTTTATGGACATTGATCTTGAATACTGCTCGTTATTCCATATGTTTCATGTATAGAACCTGAAGTCTTCCAGTATACTTTACTGAATTAGGACTAATAATTCTGCAGGTATTTCACTTATAACTCTATATTTATAATGTGTGTTCAAAGAGAATTTGCTTGATTCAATTTTTTTCTTATACCTCTAAGTGCAGCGCTGTATCCAAAAAGTAATGTACCAAGTTGATATGAGGCTACTTGTGTCCGAAGTCGTATTGAACCAACTCAGAACAGTGATTTTGACCAGAACTTAAAGATTTTTTAACAAATTGAAAATGGAAACTTTTTAGAGAAAAACAGAATTTTTTTAAGAATTAAGACAAACTGACGAACGGCTAGAGAACGAACAGAAACTTTTCCATTCTATGAGTTTATCTGGTCTCTGACCAACAGAGCTAAAATTTATATTTTCTTCGTCTCTTTGAAAAGTGGTGTGATTCGATTTGCTGTTTTACCTAAGTTACACGTATCCTCGGAAAATTTGCTGTTTTTGTTGACGTAGTCAGTCATCCGCTGTAGGTACTGGTCATAATTCTCCTCTGTCATTGTCATCAGCCCGTGGACGGGTGCCATGGTAATAAAGGGAGATAAAGTGACAGACGCACTCTCTTTAGTGATGCATCCACTAAAATAGTAGTTCCCTTGGAGGTAAATTTCTTCGTGACAATACTCGATAAGGAGGTTGATTGGTTTTCCATCTGGACCTCCCTTTCCTTCTTTGGGAACCTCTTGTCTCTCGGAAAATTGAATGAGGACTGGTAAAGCGTTCTGTTTCAATATATCTGCCATACTTTGATCTTTGCTTTCTAATATTGAAATAAAGATTTTTTTAGATAGACCTTCGTGTATTTTTTTCATGAATTTCATTCTTTTTATATTCTACTATCTAATTTTGGTAAATTGAAAAATGTGATTATCAAAACGTTAATAGAAAATAAATAAAGAAAATGTAAGCAGTGTATGATGTTATTAAAAAACAGAATCAAAACATTGATCACTAGTACTTATACACTTAGTACTTATATAAAGAAATGTGACCTACGTGTCTTGAATGATTTAACAACGTTGAATTTATATCGTCCATTTACAGGTATACTAATATACTGTTCTTGGTATGATTTTGGATTTTTGGCCAAAACTCTCTTTTGTTTAAACTCTCTTTCAATTCGCATCACCTAAAATATGAAAAAGTTATCGTATTTTATATATTAATGATTTTTTTCTACAGGAAAGTGTTGTTTATTGCCAGTCTAGAAAGACGTCATTATTGTAATTTCTGATTTAACAGCGGTGGCCGACTACTGTACTTTTAACAGTGTTCTATTATATTTGTTAATACAATTAAATTATCGTGTTCTGGAAGCATTTGATCTTTGTTTTTTTTTAACATAATCAAAAAACTACCCACTACATTGACATGGTTAATAGGAGTATTGGACTTTTGCAAGGAGAGCTATCTCGTACAGTTGACGGCTTACTTTTACACTAGGAAAAAGTACAGAGGTTTTTTTTTACGAAATAAATTTTTAGCTCAATTTAATTCAACGAATATAGTGAACTATTTCATAGCACAAATAAGTTGTCCTTGAAGAAAACGACCACCACCCTTCCCTTACCTCCCGGCCTTCACATTTCTATTCCCTTACCTACTGCAACTAGAAAGATTTTCTAATCTATTTTCAATCCTGTACATCCGTACATGATACAGGTTAAAATGTCAAAGTAAAATTCCATTGTGAACTTGAATGACTAAACATGATTTTTCATCATTTAGAATTTTTTTGGCAACTCAACTGCATCAAAAACATTTCAGAAACCTTAACTTTTTTACTCGGTTGAATAAATAATTCTGACGTGGTAAAATCTGGGGAAGTCCCTTTCAATTTTGAATGATTGTCGTAGATATCAGATTTGAAGGGAAAATTCAAATACACTTCTTAAAAGCTGTTGCCAATTTTGAATATCGAACTACAAATATTTGGTAATAAAGGAATATAAAGTGATATCTAGAAACAGAATATATTGTTAGAATACATAATTATTCTTTCATTTCTCGTTTGGTATATGTGCATGCAGGTTATCCATTGAGGTGAAAAAAAGCAATCATTAATGATTGGCTAAGACCCCTTCCACTTTTTTTGCAAATGTATACATAATATAGGTACTGAAATTTTGAGTTTACCTTTTCTTGTTCGTTTAGCCCCCCCCCCCCCCCTTCAATTTTCTTCCGACATTATGTTTAATATATACGTATTCTGAGATTCCCCTGCGTCTAGTATATAACATGTGCTCAAAGCCTACCAGATCACTGGACAGATCGTCCCATTGAGTGGGCCCATAATGTCCCCCAACAACTATGGCTATCATTGGAAAGTTGTTTTTGTACTTCCGGTGAAAATCAGGGAGTGGAAGTTGTTCCTTTGTGTCAAAAATACAGGTATGGGAGTTCATTGTTTCCTCGGAAGCATCTGACTGGTCCATGATCGACATAAACTAACAAAACTCTAAAAGCACAAAAAGCTTTATATACAATAATACAATTCAATAGTAAATGCAACTGGAACCCTGGACGGACGTCGACATATCCCAGGTTGTCGACATATTCTATGTCGAGATACCGAAGGTTACCTATACTTACATACAGTGAAATTTCTATAGTTTCCGTTGCTAGAGAAATATTGAACAATACTCTAAGAATGTCCATTTTTTTCTTTATATTGACTTAAAGTCTTGAAATGTGTTCGCAAAGACAGTGATTATTTTTACCCCTCTTTGAAAAATCAAACATTGTAAAAATATATCTTATTGATGTCCATACATACATACATAATAAATATTTATTTTGAATAATATTTTGCTTGCTACTTTTAATTTTGAAAATGCTTTTAAAATTTCAGTTCAACTTTTGTAAAATTATAACCCCATATGCTTTATAAATTTTAGTTTGAATATTTTAACTTACTTAATGATAAGATTAAGTCAGACTTGCTCGTAAAACGTTAATTCCTCATGTCCGTAATATTTATTATTCGACTTGCTTGTAGCATTATAGTTCGACTTGCATCCAAGGGCGACGTTGGTTATGCTTTTAAAAATAAATTTACATTGCTCATTAGAATAAAGCTCAATATGCACGCCAGATATTAGTTCGTCTTGGCTTTTCTGTTATATTTATCATTAATATTACAAGACATTTAAAAACGCCAAGAATCTATTGGAATTCCTATGGTTGGCAATTGTGTCCTGTTATTAGCAGAACTATTTCATTTATTCATATGAAGCAGAATTTATGCACAAACCTCTGCGTGAAAAGGTTAAACACTTACTGTGACCTTCAACTCGACATTTAGATATATCGACGACGTAAATGTCAATTATCAATGGTATTTACCATTCGTATGTCGATACGATATATCCTGGTGAGCTGGAAATAAAAGATATCACAGAGTCTGACACATCTGTTTCATATTTGTACATTTTACTTGGAAAAGACGTTAATGGTAATCTAACAACCAAGCTCCAAGATAAACGTGATGACTTTAACTTTTCTATCTTCAACTTCCCTTACTTAAGCAGCAATATACCTTCATCACCTGTTCACGCGGTTTATATATCTAGTTGATTCGACACAAAAGAGCAAGCTCTAGGTATGAACAATTTCTCAAACGAGGTGAATTACTGACAAACAACTTGATGAAACAAGAATATCAGAAGTCTCGTTTAAATTCATCATTTCCTACGTTCTATGGTCGATACAATGAGCAAATAAAATTTATCATTTAATCAAATGCTGACTGACGTTTTCCATACCAATTGTTAGTCTATTATTTATACACTGAATTGACGACGGATTTTTCCGTTATTTCCTGATCGGGACAAGAAGCACACGGCGGATGTGACCGGTCGGCAAGGGATGCTCACTACTCCATGGCATTAGATCCCACCTCTGATGTTTTGAAGGTCCCTCGCAGCTAGGTTAAGGCCGCTCATAGGAAATAAGCCTGAAAACATTCCGAAAAAATCAATATAATGTTGATATTTTTTTATTAGCATGAGTTTTAATTTAATAGGAACTATACTAATGCATATGTATGTATGGGGTCTCGACCGAGTTCGGTCAACGCGACTTCACTTACATCAGCTGTATGTCACGTGACTTGTATGAAATTAGAAAAAATATGTACGATACAAAGATCATAAAAGTTCAACGATATACGGATAGTTTTTCACTATGAAATGGATTGTGTTTTCTTTAAGACAAATTTCTTAACCCCAAAAGTGCTGGGAGCAATTTCTCCATGCCCGGGAATTATATAAAAATTAGCCGTCTTTTGATAAACTATGTGCATTTACACTATACGCATTTAAGAAATGTAAAACTACGGAAAAAATCAACAGCGCACAACTTGCTCCCAGCACTTTTCAAAATAGTAGGGACAGTAGCTACATGTGTATAAAATATTATAATTTATAATCTACCGAATATCGTTGAACTTTTGAGATTTTGGAGGGGTTATACTTGTGAATGTAGTACGTTTCTGTATGAAAGTGCATGACTGCGGCTTTATAAGAGACCTAATAGTTATCAATTAAATAAGACTGTGAACTATTTATTAATGCATTCAAAAAATTAATCAATTATAGTCATATCACGCTTATTTAGATTTAATTTTCACATTTTCAGTTCCACTAATAGCTTTATCTGCGTCTCAAGTACAGAGAAACTGCGTGTCAAACTAGCCTATGACGTCATATCTGTTAGTACAGCGAGATCAAGTTGGTTTTCATTTTACATTTGAATAGTGTTATAATGACAAGATAAGTTACACATTGATTAATATTTACAATTATCATGAGAAATCAAAGTATGTAAGAGTATATGAAAAAGAAAATTTTTATTTATTCGCCGAGATTCTGTTGTACAATTTCACCGTGACGTAATAATCGAATTCTCGAAGCTCTGTATACACTGATCTACCTTTGGGTAGCCCTTAACCTCGTTGCGCTGTTTGTTCTGCTTCTATTTTACATTGTTTTATAGATATTTGATCTTGAATAATGTTCGTTACCTCCATATGTGTCATGCTACAATTACGACAGAACAGTACACCTGAAGTTTCTCTTTAGCAGCAGTTAATATCTTTGTACGAAAATAATTGTTACATTTCCTATAAAAATCACAGCAAATATAAATTTTAGTTGTATATAAGAAAAATTTGAATGGTCAAGTATTCTGACAAAGGTTCGAAAACAACGAAATGAGGAAATAAATTCAATAGCATAACATGTATGTCATTTGGAAAAAATAAATTTTATAATAATTACAGTGCAATGGTATTTAATATTCTACAATATATTATCTGATGTTTTAAAGGTCCGTATTTGCACTGCTAATATTTTTTATTGTTTCATGGACTAATATTGAATACTGTTCGTTATGTCCATATCCTTCAAGGTTTAATTTGTATGAAAATATAATTTGCAATATGAATAGAAATGTACATCATTCAGATTGAAAACACGTTTTGATTGAATTGGTGTTATAAATAGTTTCAAGTGTGTAAATAATTCAAACAAAACAGCTTTTTAGGTATCCGTCAGCGTTCGTTCTGCACAATTCATTGGGGCCCGATTTTCTGGTACATTTAAAAGACACAATGGTCTTAAACATACAAGACCTTCATTGCACAGGTATGCTCAGAAACTACGCCATATAAAAAATATAGAAGCCCATTTCCTTTGCTTGCAGCACAAATTTATGCGAGAGAAAATATTCTTAAACGACATTTTTGTACCTGTTCCATTAAAGTAATATTTTTTGTGATTTTAATAAACCAATAAAGTTGATTTTATAAAGTATAAATTGCCACATCAAATAAACACGTTTTTATAATTATTTTACTTTTTGTGCATATAATGCTATTGACTTTCTTCGTAATTTCATACCAACGTATAAATTGCTGTTTCAATTTTATGCCTATAAACTAGTAGTGGGTTATGAATAAACATTTAAATAGAAAAACACAAAATCGAAAGATTGGCCCATTTGATAAAACAGCTTAATATAGGTAAACATCTCAGTTAAAGAATAATCATTGTGCTCTTTAGCATTTTTATGATATTTCTATGAGCAAATAGTATTTTTTTATTAGTGATAAAAATGCTTAAAAATACAATTACCTTAAACTTCTTTTTTCCTTTAAAACGGATCGCTATAGAATTTCAGAATCTCTCGAGGATTATGCAATCATACACTTGTATGCCAAACTATTTAAAGAGACAACTTGTAAAACGTTTTGCTTAAACAATTATCTTTGCGCATTACCTTGAGAGAACAATAGAATTATTAAATATGATCTCAGATATTTCTTTTTGTGACTAAAATATTTCTTTTTTTTGGTTTTTCCTTATGTAGCTTTATACCATGATCCCCTGCTTATTGACTTTATGTCTTCAAGGTGATTTCATACTCAAGCACATGATAAAAATACATAAGAAATCAGCACTGTTTCATATATAAACATTTATTATGTTGTTGTGTGAAGTTTCTTTCCATTTGATTAAATGAAACCCATGTTGGTTAATTTTAAAAGCAACATGTTTTGTCACCACAGAGCACGGTTAACAACATTGTAACGTCAAAAATATTTACGTTAAGAAAGATTTACAATATTACTCTGCCTTTTAATTTCATGGTTTGTAACGTTTTCCATACTCATAAAAACATAATAACTCTTTAAATCTAGTACGCTAGCAACCATGTGAGGGGTTTAAAATATTCTTTCATATCCTTGAGTATTTTTTTAAAATAAATGTTGCAAAAGTAAGGGATGCTGACGATAGAAAAGTTAATTTCATTACGTTTATCATAGAGCAAATGGAAATGACCAATGACAAGGGGTATTTACGAGTTCCATTTTTTATTGACATTATTATGACACTATTGTAGGGATGTCACATCGGTCAATATTTAATAATCGGTTACTTGGACGTTTTTTTTCCGATCGAGTGCCTGAGTACTAGTTAATATAGTAAATACAAGTATGTTAATTTTCTTTAACCTAAGCTCTGTTAAACCCCAATGTTGCTTTTTATTACGTTTTTAGTTCATGTTCTAAACATTGAGTCCGACGAAAATGGCTTATTGTACTTTTATTTTATTTTTAAAAATACACACACAAAGATATCAATTGGATACAAAATGATCACAAATGAGTCATAGTTCTTGTTTGATTGATTGATTGTACATTGTTTAATGTCCGTCTCGAGAATTTTTCACTCATATGGAGACGCCATTACTTGCCGGTGGAGAGCTGCAAATTTTGTCCTATACTCGGAACTCAGGGCCATTGAGCAGGGATGAATCTTTTTCGTGCCAGCACCTACTGGACAAGGGACCTCGGTTTATATGGTCTCATCCGAAGGACCGGTCTCCACGTCCCAAAGCGGGATTCGAACCCGCGACGTAAGGATCATCTCCTTACTTT